GGGGGGGGGAGGGGTACAGTTTTGGTGACTCTTTCTTACGTAACAGCCTAGGTATTAATTTGTCAATAATCTCTCAAACTTAACTGCATTTGAAAGTGAAAAGATTTTTACATATGTTTATATAGAACAATGGCACCAATAAAACATCTAATTTTATTTAGCATGCTCCCTTACAGAGGGCATGATCAACCTTGGTGGATTATAATATACAAGAATTCACAGAAAAAAAATTTATTTTAATCCCAGTAAGGTAATAAATGAATTGCTTATAGCCTGCCAACAAAGATACAATGGATCTGTTTAGAGAACAGTGCGATATCCTAGTTGCGTGTGATTAACAAAGCATGGATCAATAACCATTTCTCTGCCACTGACTGAAATACAGACAGGTTGAATCATGCAAGCTCTGTGAAGTCTCCAGACACAATATCACTTCAGATAGGAGAAAATTAGCTTGTGCTTCTCAGAACAATGTACCTTATATTGAGCATTTTTTTTTTTTTTTTTTTTTTTTAAATCTCACATTTAGCTTTGGAGTTGTTTTTGGCATGAATTGATAGAAAATGTAGTGTGGGTAATGGGCTGCTTTTATACCAACAACAATATGTTCATTGTTTCTTTAATTATAATTTAATCTTTATTCTGAAAAATAATTATGTGTAATAAAGCTTATAGAGTCAATTGTTGATGATTCAGAAGTTCTCAAAAGAAATGGCTCTTGTCAGAAGGCTTGCTTTTGCCAAAAACTTAAGATGATATAACTTATAAAATAATGAAGTTGATCATCATTAGGGATTGAAAATCAGACTTAACACACCTGAAAAAGAGAAGAATATGGATCACTAAATGTTTCAGCAGTTGCCAGTCAGCTAAGCTGTTGAAAAGATTAAATGGCTTACAAAGAAAAAACAGCCCAGTATAGACTGAAACTAAATTCATAATAATGGTGTGTGTGATTGATGAGTGCTTAATTAATTCATCTCAGTGAATTAATCATCGTACAGGGATCAACATTTAGTCATTGAACTGGCTTCTCTGTTTTCATCAAATTATTGCAATCCGTGATTGCTTCGGCAAAAGCAAACGAACAAACAATTAAACAAAAAGGAGAATACAATGATTATGAATAATTTAAAGAAGGAAAATTTGATGTGTGCATACATTTTGAATTATCTGGTGTGTATATATCAGAGATGGAGAAAAGTGCAAGGATTTTAAGATTTTTATGTTCTTACTTTCAGGATATAATGTCAGAAAATATAATCAAGATGTTGATTTCTTGTAGGTGAAGTACAATTCTTCCTGCAATCCACATATATTACTTTTGAATAACGTCAAAGTGATGCTAAGACACTATGGTGATGAAAATAACATTGTTTACTTAGTGATTAGTTTCTGAACTGATTTTTGATAGCTAAACATCTCCATATAATCACATGATATTCATATTTCAACATGTAAATTTTGCCTTTGTCAAAGCAACATTTTTTAAAATTTTAATAAAAAATTGTGCATTTACTGTCGCATATTTCCCAAAACCTGTTTTGCGTATTACTCAGCAGCATAAATTCGAGAATGAAAAAATCAATATTGGTCCTGCACTTAGCTAGGGAAGTGTTTTGTGCAGCCAATTATGCAGCAGCTTCTTTACCATAATGTAATGACTCGACAGATAATGCTGTCGGCACAAATATCACCATGATGTTTTGCCAAGACATGTATGTCTGCCAATCTCTGGCAGAATTTTCCAATAATAAATCTCGGAATGGATAATAGAAGATTGTGAATTAAATGTGAACTTTGTTTACTTGAATAATTTATGAGTAACTGACTGAAGGCCTTTCATTTGTTTTAGTCAGTTGGCATAGAATTCAGTGATATTTTTGAATACCATAATCAATTTTTATCAAAGAAATGACAATATTTCAGATACGATGATGGTTTTTCATTCTGTAGCAGGTGATTTTGACATTCAGGTTTACTCTTACATCACAAAATGAATAACACACTCTCTTGGGCTGACAAAACATTGGCATTTGGATTGGGTAATAGAAAATTGCAAATCTAATGGGACTAACCTTTGTTGACTGACAGCCAATTTCATCATGATTTGATCATATATATATAAGTGATATTGGCTCTTATTATTCTCATTTTTAGACAGGAGGCTAAATTAGCAGTGAATGAAAACATGATACCCACATAGCGTATTTATTGTTAATGGGGCTTAATATTGTTGTATCAGGGGTGTCTTAATAATTATAAATTATAATAATAATTATAATAGTTTATTGAGCTATAAATAATACAGTGCCAGAATGCCAGCTTTCTAAAAAACATAAATAAAGTACTGTAATGTAATAATGATATAGATGTTAGCAAAAAGAAAAACATTCAGAGACAAAGTGACATTTAACTGTATTACTGTTACAAAGATTGCCTTCTTTAAGGTGACAGTCGGTGATTGGAGTTGTTGGGTCTTTTTGTAATGACTATTTGGATGGATTTCTTCTGGGTATAACTCTCTTAGTCTATGATCTTTGCAGATTGTGGAAGATTTAATGATTAAGTGAAGTGTACTTGGTTTCATATTGTAGTACATCAAGATATCAGTTGTCATGGTAACTGACTTAAACATGTGAGAACTGTTTGATTGAGTGATCCTTCAAATTGCATTAAATATATTTATGGAATATTGCTTTTTTGATATTTGCAAAGTTATTTCTTTTTCTATACTTAAAAATGTTTTTAAAAATTGATTTTGAATAATTTGGTATAATAGAAATTTAAAATTGAGTTTTGTTCAGTTTATAAATTACATGCATAAATTTGTATGGAAGTCATATGTTGTAATATGAAAATTTGGGTACACAAAGAATGACACTTTGTGTCTTTTGGTTTTCTCTAAACCAAAACTCCCTACAGAGACTATTATAACAAAACAAACTGATAATAGTGCAGTAACCAGAAAGGCTGAAAATTGTTCACATGCAGTGGTACAAATCAGTGATAGAAATATTCTGTTCCTTTGCATTCATTTTACCACTTGATTCCATATGACCTTACCTATTGTCACTGTGATGTTAACAAACAGTTCTATTACAATTGTCACTCCTTAATCCAATCAACCAGTAACAAAATTGGTCCCATTGCCTGCTGCTTAACTTTCCCAACACAATACACCACACAATGTTCAGCTAACTTGACATCTGTTCTTTTGTTGGACCCTCAGCTAGGCTTACCATCTGTGCTCAACTGAGAGAATTATTTCCCTGATGATTCTTTAACCACTTAATAAAGACTGTTCGCAGCAGTGACTGTTCTTAAAAATTGATTTTAGACTAGGGGTGCTGTTTCATAATCTAAAATTTTTGGGCTAAAATCAGAAAGCTGACTGTGCAAAGTCTACACTATATTATTTATATAAGAGCTTCAGAAATGACTGACCACTAACAAATTTGCCATACCTAAATTTTGAGGTATTAAGTGTCAGGGTAAAAATATTTTTTGGACCAAGAAGAAGTCTTTTAACCAAATAAGCCACATGTGTATATGGAAAGAGTGTCCAATACTTTTGTTTTCATATTTTTGTCTTAAGTAGGCAGCCTAATATGAAAGTTTATAAACATATTGTTTTCATGGGTGAGTCTGGTATTTGGTCATATGGGGCTCAAGACCGGGTTTAAGTGGTTTGAATTTTGCCTCATGTGAACAAACCCATAGAGATTTTCTCTACAGTGTCACGTCATGATATGTAAGGTTAATTCATATAATAATTGGATGTAACAAGACTAGAAACTTATTTACCACTGATTGTAATAGGATATGCAGTTGGATTCATTCTATAGAAAACAACTTGACTGCCAGAATACTTAATGAGAATATAAGTCGTTTTTTACTGATTTTTCATTGATTTTTATTAAATTGGATGCCTAGGTCTTAACACTACATTAAATGATAAATATTTCATTAGTACAAGTTTTTTTTCTGTGCACGAAAAAATATGAATATTGATTTTGTCTCAGTTTTAAAGACCATTCTCTGTCTATTATGTACAGTATGTAGATGTGGTAATGATATAAATGATTATATACCATTGTAACAAAATATCACATTTGATTATTTTGTGTTTAATAATATTCAGAATGAGATACTGAATTTGGTGGGGTTTTTATTATTATTCTTTGGAATGTACAAGAAAACAAACTGAAAAAGAATATATGAATGATCCCATAGCCTGAAATTTGTTAATTTGTATTTTGTCTGTAAAGAGATACAGGGGGTCCTTAAAGCAGACTGAAGGCAAATCTTTTTTGATGAAGAAGTCAGGTAAAAAAAAACTAGTTATGGCCCCATTGATTATCTTGAAGTTTTATTTTTCTACAGAGGTGAAGTTTGTAAGTGCCTATCGGTCAGTGAGGCAGAAGGAACGTGTGACCTTGAGGTCACCAAGGACACCTCGAAGGTCACTGTCATCATCTTCAGGAAAGGTTAATGAAGGTAAAATTAATTAAGATGTTTAATCAAGATTATAATGCAGTAACTCCTGCCAGCACAGTTTTATTTTGATTTAATTTAACAGAAAATGCTTCTGTGTTTCAGGCAACTTGCAATTAATTCTGAACTGTTCTTTTGACCATCATTAAAATAAAAGTGAATTTTAAAAAGATGCAAAACATTATTATTACCCTCAGTCTCATTTGAAATGTACTCTTAATTGTTTCAGCTGGTCTTCGTTACACCCTCCGTTCTAGTCCCGCTGGCTCTCCAGTCATGCAGCGGAAACAGAAGCCACCTGTACCAGTGAGTAATTTTTTTCAAATTTCGTGCCCAAAGCAAACGTGTTTTGTTCAGTTACAAGGACATACCCGGTATTTAAGTAGCACCCTGAGTGTCAAAGGAGACCAGAAACTTGCCTCTTCTCTGTCAGCATGTCACTGCTGTTTCCAGGGGCTCATTTTGATACTGGAAATGGCAGCAGCATGCAGAGAGAAGAGAGGAGTTTCCAGTGCCCTCTGTAACTCAGGGTGACTTAGAGATTTGGTTGTGTGAAATTTACGCTGGACGGTGTCCTTTCTGCGTCCCGTAGTACGGCCCCATTTAAGAGTAAAAAATAATAATACTTTACATGCCGACAACTGGCCGATCATTGAACATTCATTTTGCAACCAAAGCGATCCTTGTGACTCTTCTCTACGACCACAGTGATACCAGTTTCATGGTTGATTTATGAGTTATATGGTAAAAGTTTTATATGGAGTAAATTATAATGAAATTGAAGTTTCTTCTTAAGTGTAAAAAAAATTAATAAACCATACCAAAAACAATGATTATTTTATTTTGCTGGTAAAAAAATTAGGAAAGAAATACATTTCCTTGGCATATTTAGTTTCTTGATGCCTGAGCTCATAACTTTTTATGCAGACCCTGTGATCCCTAAAATTGCAATTAAAAAAACATAAGTCTTAAAACTTATAAACTGAATAAAAATTCTATATAGCAAGAATACGTGGTAAACATATGACAATCAGTATGTAAAAGATTCTATATTTTTAGAAAAGTTTAATTGAATTCATCTTCAGTTTAATATTTATATTTTTACTTTCTAGGCCAAGCCATCCTTGAAGACAAATGGAATAAATGGAGGTAAATTATATAGCTGGAAATATTAATGGAAATGGTCAATATCTGAATCAACAGCTGCAGGGAAATGTTTTTTGAAATATTGAATTTGGCTGTAGATTAACATGGGATATTGGATTCATTCCAGCATATCTAGTTTATTCTTCAGTCTCAGAAATATGATAAATGACTTTGTTAAGCCTCAATTAATAGGAACATTATTGAACATAGAACATTTCAGCTGGGAATTGAAACATATTATAGTTTTTTTTTCTTTTGAAATTGCTGTTGTTTGTCCTCCTTTAATTGTGCCTAATATTTTAACTTTTTATCACGTTGATATATACCGAATGTGTATGGTAATCTTTAAGTTGGGAAGTCTGCAGAAATCAGTGGTTTGTGTATGTATTGCACTGTGATGGCACCCTTACTTTCAGGGATACTCATCTGGTTCTTTTCTCTATCATCATCAAACTGATGAAATTTTTAGAGGGTGATAGCTGATGTTTGCTTAATCCATCATCAATTTAGTCTATGCACTGGTTGTAAGTCTGATTTGGAATTCTTGCAAATTTTGATCTCCAGGGAATGACCATGAAATTGTCCAGTTCTCATCTTTAATGAAGTCACCTTTTGCACATGTACAAAATATGTCTAGATTACTCTGAGTGAATGAGTGGATAATAGTTATGCATCTCGTGGCCGAACATGAAATATGAAGTATTATTGACAATCAATATGCGTTGGTGTAAAAATGCTCTCTATCCTGCAGGACAAAATGGCATCCCAGAGGAGTTGCTGGAAAAATACAGAATTGGCAACGTTATTGGCGAGGGAAATTTTGCAGTTGTCAAAGAGTGCACAGAGAAGTGAGTGTAGATTTTGAAGCTACAGATCCTGATTCTCATTTCTATAGCAAAAATATCAAGGATAATTTTAGTTTAGCCCTTGAATCACTTTTATTTAATTAACAATTCAAGACACTTTAATGATCTCCAGGTTTTCACCATTTTTAGCCATCCATTCTTTGTTTTAGGTACAACAAGAGGGAATATGCTTTGAAAATCATCAGCAAGAACAAGGTGAAGGCCAAGGTGGGTCAAAAGTATATTGGCATGACTTTTTTTTTAATTTTTGGGAAGGATGATTGGCAAAAACCCCATAATTGACTGGTTTTAGCCTGGTCCTATTTTAGCCTAGTCCTTCATGTTCTGATTTATTTGAAAAATCTGTATTTCCTGCAGGTAAAAAGAGAAACAAAGAACAGATTCCAAGTGTATATATCAACATTCAGTATTTCATTTTTCAAATTTTTAGGATTGTGATAAACATGAGAACAAAATCTCCATTTTGTCCAATGTATTCTGAGCACTTCATATTATAGTTTAAACATGATGATTTCATTGCCATTGTATTGGTCTTTTCTCTTTTGGTTTGTTTGCGCAATACTGTTTTTCATGGAGTCACTGAAGTGAGTCATTCATTTAGCTGGGTCGATTTTACCCTTGAGGTATAATATTTCATATCTGCTGCAGTACTTAATCCCTAATTCTTGCAGTTTCAAATATCCCACATCATTGATAACTGTATATAAAAAGTAGCTCATTCTCTTAAATTGATGTGTCTTACTTTTTAAAAAATGCACATACTAGAAAACACTCACACACACACACACACACACGCATGCATGCATGCGCTATAAATTAGCCATAAATGTTCTTTACTAGGTTTTTATTTTTGGGATATTAATATTATCATGGAAATAGTTTGATGTTTTTATGGAGACTAGTAACATTATATTATTTGGGAGGGGGGGTCACTGCTCTCTTCACTTTAGGCTACTATAATATTTCTGATGAAAGTGTTTTAATGTTAGACACTAAAATACTGGAGTGGTAATAATTCTGAATTTGGCAGTATAAAGGAATTTAACATAGAATAGCTAATGTTAGAGTGCTCTATCATATCCATCATCCATGTAATTTACTCTCTGGTGGTTAATCTAATGTGAAATTCTTGCAAATTTCTCCAGGGAATGTCCATGATATTGTCCAGTTCCTGTCTTAATGCTCTTTAGACCATGGGGATTATAATTTAGTACAAGATGAAAAGAAAGTAACTGAGCAGCTTTTCGGCATTTTGTAACATTTAACATACCTGTCCATTTAACATAATTATGTTATCATGGCAAGGTTTCAAATAGGTTTTCATGTGCTGATATGATCAGTTAGGCAAATGATGTATACAGGATGCTGTCTGAAACTTATATCAGTCTATTCATGACATTATGCAATATTTTTTATTGTGTGAACATACTTAAATCGACTTTATTGGCAGAGCTCCTTGTGATTGATTTGCAAAAAAAAAAAAAAAAAAAACATTTTCAGAGCAGCAAAGTGTATATATCAGAAAGACGATTGGATTTCTCATTTCAGTAATGAAATCTCATTTAATTAGCCCCATCATGAGGTTGTAATATTGCTTTATGGGAAGGGGCTTAAAGTAATGAGTTCTTTCATTTCTTACAATGGAAATTGTTGTGTCTCTCAGTATCTGTTTTCTTTGATCATGATTCTCACTTGTTTAATATGATAGTTATTAAAATTTTTCTTTTTTTTTTTCAAATATTTTTTAACTATTTCACTTTTTCAAGACTTGCCACTTTAAGACACTTGTAGCAGTTAACTTACAGACAAAAGGCCACATATTAACTTAACAAAACTTTGAAATCGGTATTTTTAAGTATTACTTACAAAACATTTTTTTATTTTTGAAAAATGATTAATTTATGTTGCAGGAATTTATTGAGTAATTACCATAGGATTTTTTCATCACCCTCTGAGGTCATTGTATTGATCGAAATAAAAATGAATAATGTGGGACAATCCATTTGATGAACATAGCTGCCCTAGTATAGCTTTCTACTTGATAGGAATTCTAAAGTGAGCTCCAAGAGCACAGAGCTCCATTGAGGAAAAATACAATATTTTCTTTTTTATATTAGGTGGCCAAGATTCAATTGAAACTGTAATCACTTGTTTTCTTTCCTGAATAAATCATTTCTGTCCTGAAAATGTCATCAAATTTGTGTAGAAGTGTTTTGGGTATCTTCTCAGGAAAAATAAATTGGCAAACCAATGACAATGAAAGCAACCTTCTTTGATGGCAGAGGCACAATCATGCAATTAAGTAACAGAGAAATGTCTTTACTTCTAACTTGATTAGTTTCCTTCATGCCTGTAATAGTTGTTTTTATTAGGTCCTAAAACACTGCAGGAAATTATCAGTCTTCTTTTATTAATAGCCCTGTGTTATACAATAGATTAATGAGCATGGCCTTTAAAGAAATCAAGAAATTGGTTGAAAGGGGGAATATGCAGCTGCAATAAATTATTCTGAAAATAAATATTAAATGTCAAAGGCAAAATATCAGTGCTGATGCTTTGTAATAATGGTATTTTATCTTGCCATATGTAGCAGCAGGCTATCTTTAATTGATGCATGAATGCCACTTAGTATATACATGTACATAATACATGTACATAACAAATAGGGTATTGGCCACTGGGTAAATTTTCATTCTTCTACTGTAATTATAATCAGGCCTTATAAATGAAATAGCTGTACTTGATTTTGAGCCTTTGTTTAATTTGTGACTGTGAATCCCAATTAACAACTGAAGCTATGATTGAAAGCACAAACATAATATGCGCGAGGCCTGTAATGGTTTTGTCTGTAGGGTTTTGTCTCATAGTTCTTCTGAGTGCTCCTATGTTTAGTGTCCTCACAATGGTTAATCTGTTCATTTTTGGAAAATTTGGGGCATTTATTTTTTAACATGGATTTGTGTTAGTAGAAATATTCAAGAGTAAATGCTTTCAATGCTGACTGTTATACAAGTTTAAGTGTCCACCTTTCTAGCTAAATTGAAAATTTAAGATTAATAATTCTGGTATTCCCCAAGATTTTGATTTGTATAGTTAACAGATACTGTTACTGGTCATTGTTGCTAATATTAGTTTTTTTGTTTTCTAGAAACAAATGATTGACAGCGAGGTTTCCATTTTGAGAATTGTGAAGCACCCAAACATCATTCAGCTGCTGGAGGAATATAGCACAGATAGAGAACTTTACCTGGTCATGGAACTAGTCAGGGTAGGCACAGATAAAGGAACTAGTCATGTTGTGCCTGTTTGTCAGTGTGTGCCAGACTGTCTGATGATGCTCATATATGATTGCATGACACTGAGTCAGGGGCGGATCCAGAGATATTTTTTGACAGTCTTCCATATTATATTTGTTGATCCATTCTCCATTTTTTGACCGTCTTCCTACAGAAAAAATTAGATACCCGTCAATGTAAACTTGAAAATCTGACCGTCTTCCGGAAGACCCAGAAGACAGCCTAAATCCGCCCCTGTGAGTGTTCTTGTATTTGAACATATGAGTGAATTTGTGCATGCGTGTTCGAGTGCATATGTTTACTCCGATTAATCGGGTTATCCATATGAGTGAATTATTAATGTAGGTGTGACTTGTATATATATATATATATATATATATATATATATATATATATATATTTGTTTCATGTGCAGATGTTCCAATTTTGTAAGCACGAACTTGAGTGTGGATGAATGCACATGCATGCAAGTGTCAATGTTGAGAGGATTTTAGAGACTTCATCTGCACTTTTGCACTTTCAATTAGTTTTGAACAGAACTTCATATTAGAAATTGCACACCAAATTATAGAATATGAGACATTTGACGATAAATAATGAACATCTACATATTGAATATGTACATCTAAAATAAGAGTTATAAGATAGAATACAGTCTAAAGTAAGAATTGTACTAATATAGAGGTGACATTTTTGAAGTAGAGTAACAGCTAGTGCACAATGAAAATAAATTGAAATAGAATTCATATGACTTAGAGAAGGCTGTTTGTGTTCACATATTTTAGGGTGGTGATTTGTTTGATGCCATATCCTCAGCTACAAAGTACACAGAGCGTGATGCCAGTGGGATGATGTACAACCTAGCTAGTGCCCTCAAGTATCTCCACTCTCTTAATGTGGTACACAGAGATATTAAGCTGGAAAATCTGCTGGTAAGTGGAGGTTCTCAGACATCTGTATTTCAGCAGCTCGATGTCACTTTTATCTGCAGAATTATTGATAGCAGAACCTAGGCTACTATCTTGTAGTAGGTAGTGTGGGTAATGCTATTTTTGTTGTGCTTTTTTTTTTTGGTCTTGTTACAAATTCACAGTGCCTTGTAGTCTGAATGCCATTTCTATTTTATCATTTCTGCCCTCTCTCTTTCAGGTATTTGAGCATGAAGATGGCAGTAAATCGCTAAAACTTGGAGACTTTGGACTGGCCACATTTGTGAAGGGAAAGCAGTACACAGTATGCGGAACCCCCACTTATGTAGCCCCAGAGATACTGGCAGAGACTGGGTAGGCCATATAATATTACCTTAAAGTTTATAATTGATTTAAAAGCATAATTTGATCCTGTTAATGGTGTGAATTTGGTATAATTTGTTTATTAAAAAAATTTATAGAAAAAGGTAATTTAAAAGCAAAACCTTCAGTTACTTGTGCCGTGTTTTTTTTTTCTTTAACACTTCATAAAAAAATGCAGTGAAGATATTTTATTTAAAAAGTATGTGGATCAGTCTGAGATGAATTTTAATTATTCCTTCACAAAACAAGAATAGGTGTTACAGTTTATGAAATTGTTGAGGAGGTAGCATTTTGCAACTCAGTTTACAGTTTTCAGTGAATGGTTTCATTTCACAAAGAGTAAGCTGTTTAATTCTTACATTTACCATATGTTATATAATCATTACAGCTATGGCTTGAAGGTTGACATGTGGTCATCTGGAGTTATCACCTATATTCTGCTGTGTGGTTTCCCACCTTTTGTCAGGTACGTATACCTGTCTTCTTCCTTCACCTCATCCTCCTTCCACTACTAAGAAGAAGAACAACAACAACAAGAATAATGGTTATGATAATCTTTAAAAACATGTTACATTTGCCTGAGTATTAATTGTGCGTAAGATTTCCTAAATTAAAAAAAGTTCAAGACAATGTTTCTTGTTTGTATCAGCTGTCTAAAAATAATCTATACTCACAGACAGAATTTATCCACTGGAATGATGTCATCGCATATTATACCAATTATAATTAACTGTCTAGGCTGATGCATGTAACTGATGACTAATGAACTTTAGTTGGCATTTATACCTCACTTGAGTATTCAGTGTCATGTCATGTTGCACAACTGGTTTTAATTGTCTTTGTTCCTTCCTTTTCTATCTGCCTAATGGTATCTTTATAGTGCCGAGGGGATGATAATAATGATAAAGGATGTCACCATAAAAAGGACATCTGCGACATACTCCACATTGCCTTGTTTATACTGCTAGGCGTAAATGCTGAATGTGTTTTTAGTAATTAAAAAAAATATCTTAGTACACAATAGCATGTAATTTTGTATAGATAAGTTTTAAGTTTATTATACAACCCATTGGCTGAAATTCTATGCATGAATAGATAGATAATTATATAAGAACATGAACTATTTATTTTGTATAAATATTTTCTCTTCAGTCAATCCAATGACCAGGATGAGTTGTTTGACAAGATAATGGAGGGGACATTTGACTTTCCGTCTCCATACTGGGATGACATATCAGAATCTGCTCAGGACCTGATCGAGGGTCTGCTACAGGTCGACCCAGGGACACGTATGTCTGCAACACAGATGTTGGAGCACCCGTGGGTTGCTGTAAGTATTAAGATCAAACAAAGAGCATCTCTTCTTATCAAATGTTAAATTTTCCTGAATTCCTTAAATCACTAAGGTATACCTGGTCATATCAAAAATCATTGACAAAAATTTAACTATGCTTAGGTTTTGAGTTCTAAGTTTCCTATTTTCCTAGATTTTCATATTCTCAACAGTTTTGGATGAGTTATTATGCTTTGGTGATAAATTGAAAATTGATGAAAATTCCGAGAAATATAATGCATAATAATTTTTACTAATTGAAAATAATTTTAGACAGCTCAATATGTTTAGTGTAGAGTCTATGTTGATAATTAAAAGGACCTTTTTGTAAAGATACGAAAGTCTTAGAATAAAAAATTTATATTTTTCCCGTTTTTGCTTTAAATATTTGGTTAATGTTATCATATTTTTAACTGAAAGAAGTGTCCATTTATTTCTGATCTTGCTTCTAATAGACAATTGTAAATCATATTTGGCAGGATGACACGGCGCTGGACAATGACATGCACACCTCAGTTGCCAGGAAACTAAGCATGCACTTTGAGAAAAGGCAATCAAAATTCCCAGAGCTTTCTCCAGGAGTCAAACTTGTCGCTGTAAGTACTGAATCTAAGCACGTTTGTCTGTGTGAAGGCCAATTTATTTCTGACTATCTGTTATTAACATGCAGTAGCTTATTTATCAATACTGAACCCTTTAACAAATGAGATTTAGAAAAATGCTTATCAGGATATTTTTATTTATGTGACAAATGGGACATTTTAATCATCAGATGATTATTTTTTAATAACTTTGTTTGCTTCTGCCAATAAGTATAAATTAATGCTTCAGTTTCAAAATAGTATCTAAAGGTTATGACATTTTTTATTAAACCTCTGTAATTAACAGTTATATACTTAGTCTATTTTTTTATTTTGTCCATGTGATAAATAAAGTCCCACTTAAACAGTTTTGATGAATAGATGGATTTTTTAAAGAAAGATGTACACTGCAGTTCATATCTTTTTCAGATGACCGCTTTGGACAAAGGTTCTCGGTTCTTTGAGGGCAGGGGTCATTCACCTGTCCGCCAGCTCCAGCCAGTGGTCAAGCAAAACGGATATGACGACTACGATGATGACGAGATCTTTTAAGTCTTTTATTAAGACTACTGCAGTCAAGTTATTTTACAACATGTCTTAATGAGGAAAAAGTTATTTAATGACTGGTACTTTTTTGTAAGATACAAATGTCTCAGTTCAAATGTAATGTACTAACGTAATGTGACTTAAAGGATGAAGGCACCAGTTGTTGGTACCTTTATGAACAATGTCACACAAAGTCAAATTTAATTTAGAAAAAATTCGGAAATTAAAACAACCCTTGTACATCTATTTGGACTGATGAATGACTGAACCTTTATCTGGCTTGATGTCTGTTTGGTTTACCAACTGTAACTAATATAGCCGGAAGAAACCTCTCTGTAAACTGAAAAGGTGAAAGTTATTCAACCTGTTGATAGGAAAATTCATGAATTTAAAAAGCTTTTGAACTGAGATTTCTGTATCATACTTAAATTCTATGGTGTATATGGTATTCACTATGATGAACCACTGAACTTTGAAGTGTGCAAATTTGTTAATGTGTTTGATCCTCTGATGAATTTGTAGGGACTGCTTATGGCTGCATGACTTGCAGGCATAAATGATGAATCATGATGTGTAGAATAAAATGATAGCAAAATCATTTGTAGAATGTAGCAGAAGGCAGTGCTCGTTTTAGGTACTATGTTTATAAGAAGGAAACTGAACCGGTGAATGGAGTTGAGCAGTATTAACTCATGTTGTAAAATAACATGTAAAAATATTTACACACTTCGGATATTATATTTAATTAGAAGTTGATGTGCACTGCCATACACACAAAGCTACATCTTAGAGTAGTATATATTGTGGCAATATGTTCAAGTGGTCTTAACAAGGCATGCTCTGGGTAAAATTTGGATGACCAAGAGTCAGATTTGCAGCCTAGGAAAATCTTATACCTAAGTGTCCATGATAAGTGTCAGCTTTCAATGACAAGTGCTTTTGCAATTAAAAAAAAGTTGTTGCACCTTATGGGGTATAGGCAAAGCTTTAAGTCTTGCTAATCTCTTTTTGTTTTCACCAGGAGGATTGCAGGGTTGAAATCAATCTGACACAAGTTGATGCACAATTGAGACAGAAGCAGTACAGCTCAACTTACATTTTGCAATGTGTGCTAGATTTCAAACAGAATTAAAGCTTTTTCTCCATTTAAATAAAGGTTATGATTTAAGAAAGCTGGGGGCCTCCGCTGAAGAGAGAACACTCTGGCAGCGAGGGTACCTCACTCTTCAATATTGCAACCTTTTGAGGAGCTTTTTTTCTAATCTTTGAAAAGCTCTTTGCATGTTTTTTTGCAACTATTATGACTGCAAAGTAAACACTTACACTTTGATCTTTGAAATCACTCTGGGAAGGTATTTTCATCACTATTACTTTCAAGAAATTATACACAGACATTAGAGTGAGACTTATGAAGATGCTTCCTAGTACTAAAACTATGAAGAAATAAGTCAGCCTTCCTAAGTTTCAGGTACCAGAACGTCCTGCTGTTTCCAAAAGTTCTACCTCAGTGAAGAAAATGTATCTAATTTTGAGGATCTTCAGAATTGTTTTCCGTATCAACCAAGAAATGTTTGGCAGTGCCTCTTATGTGCATGTACCTCAAAGTACTCAATGTACCCGCCAGGATGTATTTAACAATAATATGACAGTTCAAAGTTGAAGAATCTCGCATACTCCAAGTGCAATATGTACATAACAGGCTTTTGTCAGCCGTGGATGTAACATACCCTTATTGTATAATTTGTAAAAGTGGATGTTGTTTTGTCTTTAGATTTACCATTGTAAAGCATAGAAGACGATACTGCTTGAGGTCTACTCTGTGCAAGTAACCAAGGAAAACTTCCCAGCATTTTATGGAGTCTCAGAAATGGATTGTCTGTCTCTAACAAGTTTTAACTTGTTAAAACAAGAAAAAAATAATTTTGCTTATGTTGTTTTATATAATATATGACCTGTGATCTGTTGTCTTACGTGTCTTTGTTTGTATAATAATCAGCATTGTTTGCCTGCCATCAAGACAGTAAAATATTATTTTAGGACCATATAGTCTCAGTGCTGGAACTTTTGTATTTGGGCACCCTTATAGGGGTGTTGGTAATTATAGTCTTTGAAGACAAAATACAATTGGAAACAAAGCTTTTTACATTGATCCATGTTATACAGACATGTAAAGCTACAGCAATGTTATGTTTATAATGTGTGACTAGATTTTAGTCAGTGAGTTTTAGACTTATTATAAGATTTATTTTTACTGATTTTATATGATATGTTACGCATGTAATGTGAAAGTTAAACATCTTTGGACCATTTTAGACTTCTTCACAAGGATTTATTGATATTGTGCCTATGGTTTTTGTAGGTTTGTCTCGTATCCAATTGAATAGGTTTATTGCCTAACTGTGAAATTGTGTATTTGTTTTAAAAACCTTCAAATTCAGTTCCATGACATTTTGAAAAATATTTATACATTAGATATATTACAGTTTAATCTGTTCAAATTGCACATGAGCACTGAAATGTTTGAACCACTATAATTGTATTTACCAAAAGAATAATGCAGGCAGGACGAGAGATCAGATATGCCTTATCAAGGATACCAATTTATTTCCCATGTGCAAGACTGAAAATTCTGTAAATTTAGAATCGAAGTTTGCTATTTATTATAGAAATTCCAGTAGCTTCTCTTATTGTGGCCAGTTACATATTACACGCACAAGTGTTGTTATTGCACTTTGCTTCTGTGACTGAAAGTAATAAAATATAAGTGTTGTTTGTATGTATTTTATTCTAGAAGTGATCAGACTAGCACTTTTTTGTGCATTTAAAGTTCTACAATATATTTGTTAGTTCCAATCCAAATTACAACTATTATACAAGTGATCAACTAATCTCATTTTTTAGTATAAGGGAATTTCTAAATCCAAGTAAATCAAGCCACTCTTTGGTCCAAAAACTCGAGACAATTCATTAAATGTAAATGGGTGGTTCATGGAATGTTTCAAACTGCCAAATACTGATTTACCCTATTGTAATACAGTATCACCATCAAGTCTTTTCTTGCTTTTTTGTAGTCACCAAAAGCACTACTTATGGCACATTTAGTGTTCTTAAAGCTAGTCAAATTGATTGGAATTGGAATGGCTACTATCCTTGATCAAATATTGCTGCAAATTTATTCCAAGCTGACAGAGACCAACAACTTGGTCTTGGAAGTAATGAGCAGTTTACAATGTCCCTGCTTCTACAAACAGAAAGAAACAAAATCTAAAATAAACCAACCAATATTTAAGTACGAGCCACCACTAGCAGAAAGCAAGTGTTATCAAAAGCAAAAAAGAAAAATAATTTTCAAGCTCAGTATAAAATAACAAAATTGTAAAAAGCAAACATATTCGATAAAAATATCTAAACAATGCAGTTATTATGCCCCCTAGAAGTTACAACACTGAGTCAAGTGCAAACCATACAAATGTAAAGTGCACAGAAAATATCAGCTAATAACATCACTCTTCATGTCCAATATGAAACATCACCTGTTGCCAGGATGTGCCCATTATCATATTCTCACACTTAAAACTGTACCCCACCCATCTTCAAATAGCATTCTTTGGTAATGTTACAGAAACTTAAATGTTGTGCAATGCTCCAGCTTGAGATTCGATGAATATATATAAAAATTTCATTGCCCCCTCCTGCACATTTCAGCCATCTCCACTCCCACAAAAAGTAACTGGCTATTCCACAGTCTGCTCGGTGCGGCACTTTTTGTCCACCTTTTTGAGGCCCAACCAGGTGTTGAGTTTGTTAGCGCGTAGGCGGGACCAGATTAAGTGGTCGTGAAGGGACATAATCTGTGCCGCCATCAAACCTGCAGCCTCGGGAGATATCACTGTTGAACAGCCGAGACCTGAAATGGGAAATTTACAGAAAAAAGTTACTATCACAAATATTATTTGGCAAAGCATTTTTCCAAAAATGAATAAATGGTACATTTTGCACTATGGCCAATTAAGAACAGAGTACAAGGGGTAAAGGAAGAACGCTTCTCTGTATATGTTTCCAATCCTATCACAGAAAATTTAAAGCAAGAATTTCTTAACTGCAAAAATCTCTCTAGACTTTCTTTACGCTTCAAAAGGAGGAAAAGGAGGAAACCCTAAAGGGAAAAATATTCCCCTTACCCCCCCCCCCCAAACTTAAGTATTTAACTACATAGATACAGAATATAATCAATCAGAAAATCAAATAAAGCTCACAAATATAGAAGTAATACAGATAAAGTGTAAATAAATATTACTCTAATGTCAATTTCATCCTTTAGAGAATAATTTTCCTTGTAAAAGTATAACTTACCAGAAGGCAGCCTCAAAGATGACCAAACATCTTCATTACCCCAATCAGCCTTAATGGGTGGGCAGTTGATGACCGGCCAGCTGGCATTGCCAGACAAGACTGGACCAAGACCATTGCTTCTGCCAGCCACCGCTATAAACACAGTGGGGATATTTTCACCTGAAATGTGATATTTGTGAAGTGTAATTTATGTACTCTATAATTGGAGTTGTAGCCCATTTACTCCTAATGGACCAAGTATGGACATTTTCACCTTTTATTCAAAAGTGAGCAATAAGTGCTAAAATAGGTTAATTAATGAACCAACAGGACCAATAATTAACAATCAAAATCATTATATTCTGACACATTAAACCAAAATATTTTTTCAAGATTTTTCAACTAGACATGCATAATTGATGAAGTCAAAGCAAGGAAATAAAACAAAATCGTTATATCTCATCACAACCAATTTCTGTACTAAAATTTACAAATTTACAAAATGACTCCAAACTAAATTTAACCAAACTATATTACCTTCATATTGAGCCAAAATGTTCAAGGTCTCATCTGTCCCTTTGTGAGCAGACGAAACCCTCATCTCACATGGGAGGCCATATTTTTGACAAGTTTCAGCTATCTTCTGACTAAAGGCAAAATCCGAGGGAGAACCCATGAAGACTACTGCTCTGCAGTTTGGCTTTGGGGTCAAATGCTAAAAATATAAAAGCAAATGTTAAAACTGAGTAATTTTACTAAAAAGGCATATCTCTGTACAATACTCCAAAGGATGGGATGATTGTTCCATCTACCTTAAAAATCTTGAATCAAATATGTTATCCAAATGAGTTAAATATATAATATTGCATCAAAACATTTCTACTAGTTGTTGTTTGGGTACCTATTAGATACAAATAACAGGTCACCTTAAAATGGATGTCCAACATAACAATTATCATCAACCAAAATCATGGTGAATTCAAACGGTATTTATGAGCCATGTTTTTAAAAGTTCAAATCAACAAACTAAGGATTCCACCTACATCTAATCTTTCGGCCACCCACTCAAAGTTTCTCTTCACTAATGCCAGGCCCTCCTCCGTGACCTCGGCCATGTCTCTGTAAACCTGCTTGTCCTTCATCAGGCGTTTGTCACCAGAGGGCCACAGCCGCCAGGAGTCGCTGTCAATGATGTCAGCCAAGACAATCTCACCTGATTTACAGGATTGAAAATAAAGAGTATGGCAAATGCTACTTAAACTTGAAGAAAACGATTATTTAATATTCTTCAAAAAATGCTTTGTTAATTATACATGTATATAATGTTTAATTGTTCTGAAAAGTGCACTGACTTCATAGTAGAAAAGGCCTTTTTGCAAGCCACAAAATATATATTGTGTGGGTACCTAACAAATCTGTATACATTTCAACAATGCTTTCTACACAGGTCGAAATTTTATCCTGGCTTTCACTGTGAATTCATACCCTTGTTATTGACTCCAAACTCTATCTTCATATCAATCAGGCTGCAATCCAGTGTTGCCCAGGCTTTCTCCAAGATCTCAAACACACAAACGGTCACCTTGGACATCATGTCCACTTCGTCTGGACCTATGAGGAGGCCACCATGGGTCATCTTGCTCTCGAGGATCTGTTCTCTTGACCATTGTGGGTCACCAGCAGCATCATCCTAGAAAATAGGCTTGACTTTTAAATCCATGGGAACTATGTTAACTAAGTAAAACAACATATAGCAGAACTCCAAATAGAAGCACATTGATTAACTTCTGAATGACCTATATGGTTCAAATTACAACTACAACAAACTCATGCCCTATTTTAATTATTTTTTTAGCAAATTAGAAACCAGAATGTTTAACATAATGTATATACATATTTAAAAAAAAAGAGGTGAGAGATATCTTACTGGGGACAGTGTATCTTTGTAAATGTTTGAAAATAGATGCTTTTTCAGTTGTTTTCAAAATATTTTTTTTTAATTTAAAAAAAAACCAATAATAATAATAATAATAATAAATAATTGAATAAATAAATAACTTTTTTTTAATCATGCATACCTTATAAAACATTTCAAGTTTAGGAGGACAGAACCTATAGCCCTCAGTGACTCCAGGGTTACGTTTGAGGAAGGACCCCGTGGCGACTCTCCTGGTGACCCACTCTATAGGGATCATGTCACATGCTTCGGCAATAAAAGCTGTATCACTGTGTTGCTTGATGAAGTGGGACTTAACACCTGAAAAAAACATTTAACTTTTAATAAGGGAGATATTATAATATAATATATATATATATATATATATATATTGTAAAATATGTGTTTAATTCAGTATTGAAAAGGGCTCTACCCATGGTAGCTGGGAAGCTTATAGAGAAAGAGAAAAATGAACTAAATCAGTCTGTTTGATCTATGTTTATGCCCTACAGCTGTTATGACCGGAGGCCTTATCAGGAGCACAAGCTATTACATGGCTATGTTTTTACAGATCTGTTTGTGCCCCTGATGAGGCCTCTGGGTTGAAATGGCTGTAGGGAACAATAAATATGGAACAAACAGACGGAACAAATATCACCAGAACAGTTATTGTCACCATAACACAGAGACATGATGCATAATTTCTGAATCAATGCTTTTTGTTTCTCAGGCATTTCAATGTGGCTCAGACTTCAAACTATCTAGACAATTTATTCTACTTTGGTTAGCTAAATTCAAAAATGAACCATTTCAAAGGTTTCATTGAGAGTTGACAAAAACACTCGACAACAAAAATCATATGCTGCCCTTACCAGCAATAGCCAGTAACTCAAACACCTTAGCAGCAGTTGCCGTGGATACAATAGCTTTTCCTTTCATCTCGTGTTGCCTAGCAGCATTTCCTGCCGTGATTTTGTCCTTTGATTGTAGTAGCACCTTGCCTGGTTGTGAGGTAATCTCATACACGATCTTGGTCTTCCCCTCATTAAGCTGTTTGCCAAGCTTAACTGTATCTGAAAAATAAAAATTGTTGGGAAAAACTGTACAAATGCCAAATATATGAATAAGTAAGAATTTTGTGAGAAACAAAAATTTACATTTTAATCTTGGCTTAATGGATTGAAATAATAGATCAAAAGCAAAATATGGCCAAACATTGGGACTTGTGTAATATCACCTCCAACATTCACCTACATGGACCCTCAAACTTCTTATAGTTTTGATCTCTGGCCTTTTCACATTGATGTTGTATTTTTTTTTTTTTTTTTCAGTCTTTGAAATTGTTTTGAGGGTTTTTTCCTTTCATTCAATTGGGTAACAAAGACTATAACAAACAATAATGAAAATAAAAACTTTGTACACACAGAAGAAAAAATGACAAACAAATATCTGTTTTGGCTTCCAATCTTTTTTATTAGCATGTTCACAAAATGGTCAAAGATGTGGACAAAAAACAAATTTTTTCTCTGTACTTTCATTTTTGATCTGTGAACAAAATTAACTCCGTGCATATTGAATCCATGTCATGAGCAAGGAGTAGGAATCAACAGTTCGCACTCATTAGTTAGATGCTGTATAGGAATATTTTGTCCTTTTGGAGAGCGCACATGATAGTATTCACTCATGTATGTACATATTCTCAAAAAGCTGTCTTACTGCAAGAAAGATAGCAAAATACAACTTGTACCCCATTCACACTACAGTTGCAAAAATGCGCATTTCTATAATCCGAATTTTTCGTTAGGAATCCGATTCGGTATTGCGTTCACACACGCTAAGCGAAACCGAATTACACGTTGAAAATTTCAGGTTTAACTTCCTGTTTTGAACACTCACGCATGCGCCGCACAGGAAATCTTAAAATACCAACAACAATTTGTGACGACAAATGCAACTCTAAAGATATTCCAGCATTCTTGAGAAGTATAAGATGGCAAAATAAGTTTGTTTCCTCATGTTGTAGTGAGTGGTGACCTCCAAATATGTTTGGTGCAGTGGCTAAAGTAATAAACAAGCGTTCATAGATACCCGCACTTATCTGCACACATGCGCAGTTAGATCTTTGCAGGTGTCGATTCCGGTAAGTTATCCGGATCGCGCTTAGAAATCAACCTCGCTTGCAGGATTTTGAAAATGCGCATTACAAAAATCCTCTTGCATTCACACTACTGCATTTATTCGAATTGTGACCTAATTCGCAATTTATCCGGATAACTGAGTAGTGTGAACGGGGTATTGATGTCTCCCTCAGAGCTTTCACTGAATAAAGTCAGCCATAGTCATTTACATGATAACACCCCGAGTCATACCTTACTTAAGACACTATAACTGGCAGAAAAACAAAAAAAATCAGAATTCAAAAAGAAATACTATGTTATGCTTAATGTGTGTGTGTGGGGGGGGGGGGGGAGTAGGGAATACTGTAAAAGTATCCAGATTTCTAGGTTTCTGTCAGAGTACAACACATTAATAACATTAATCTCTGCAACTTAGGGCCTCATGCATGTATACTTGAAGTTGAAACTAAGTGAAGCAAGTGTTAATATTTCAATCAAATTTTGGACCTACCGGGTATTGCACTTTGACTATATGGAATACCTTTGTCTGCATCTGGCTCTGTTTTTAATAGACAAATAGGTGATACACTATATGGACGTGAGCCCAATATTCTGTCCAGTTGTTCAAAGTGCTCACATCTTAATCTTCCCTGTGTTCTGACACTGAAATATAGTAAAATATACAATATTATTCAGGGTGGGGGATTATGAAAACAGATCAACTATCTATTATATACATTTAAACTTCTGGATACACTAAAGGTGAGGGTGTCGGCACATTTTATGCAACATTTAAATCACACACATCAAACAGATACAGAGAGAGAAAGAGAGAAAGAGAAGAGAGAAACTTAATTACCTGTGGCTGCTCTTGCCAAGCACTTTGGTTTTCCTGTACAAGAACTTCAGCTTCTTTATTTTGGCACGACATGCCTCTGGGGTCTTGTGCACCCCGTGTTCCGTCTGCAGTCGGTCAGAAATCCGCTTAAACACGTGGATGTTCCTCTTTGGGTCACTCTTTAACTGTTCTTGTATGGGGTCATCGCCCCAAACACTGATAAGACTGTTGATTTGATTATGACTCCACCAAAATCCTCCTTCTGACGCCGCCATCGTATGTATACACGATGCGCTCGTATTTTAAACTGAGGGGTGAGGCATATAATTTCTGATCCACTATTAGTACTAAATCTGCTAGACAAAGAAGGGGTACCGTTTCCGCCCCGATAGACCGCATGTACAAGCCTAGATGTACTGGCCGTGTTAACGAGCTGAGAAACCGTCTTACATAATAGGCGGGCTATTAAGCTGTCAATGTCTCAAAACATAACGCTGAAGACTGAACGCTAAAAATAGAATGTTCCACGTGAGGTGGCCTTTTTGTGAATCGACCGTCCAGACACATGAGAATGAACTTCAGCGCCACCTGTCGGGTGTCTGGAAATCATGACCTTATACTGACCCTTGTACGTAACCGATTTTTTGTGCCAATTAACAGTGAAAGGTGTCCCAATTATAATTACTTTTCAATAATTTTTAAAAGAATTAAAACATGCCTTACCTGTTTTTTCAGACATTTTGGACGGCTCAATTATGGCTGTATATCCTGTTGTTTATTTGCCGCAATATACGCTTGAAAGGTCGAGTTGGAAATTTCCACGATTTCGAAATAAACCACCGGATTATGTAAAAAATCTGTATTTTCTTATCGTAGCTCTAAAGTCGTTTTTGATCCAACAGATCAGCAATTTTTGCGCCGTTGTAGTCGAAAGTGCACTCAATAACAGGAGTGGGGGCTCAACCACGTGCGTCTGAAAGAGGTCAGTGGGAACGTCGGGCTAGTCCAAGTTAAGGGGTGATGGGTTTGAAATCTACGACGTAAACAAAACCATTTGAAACAAACAAGTAATATTTGGAATTTATTGATTCCATAAAATACAACAGTTTATCTTATTTGGTTTACAAAAGTAAAAAAAGATCAGTATGGGGATGTTTTGTTTGCGGTTTTGTCATCATCAATTTAATCCTTTCCCCCTAATGCTTATCCGAAAAGGTCCATGTGCTTTCCAAACAAGATGAATGAAAAGGAAAGCTAACACAAGCTCTCGCTGGTTGTATTGTACGATCTGATATTTGAATGGCGGAGGCAGAGGGTCTGCAAGAGGCTTGTGGGGTATTTGGCGTGGTGGCGGGCGGTGAATGGCCGACAACGCTTGATGTGGCTCACACGACGGCGTTTGCTCTAGTGGGTCTTCAACATCGGTGAGTTTTCATTACTGACTACAGTGACTTGGCGATATGTCAGCCGGTGTGATTTTTATTGTATAAATTATGGAAAGTGCTGTGATCTAATTGCTTTGAACCCTTGATTTGTTTAAATGGAAGTTTATCCGTTAACGCCTGATTAAAGTTCCATATAGATCATACGTGACGTTGGCTTCATTTAATCTATTAATTTTTAATCTTTAATTTTATTTACCATGCGCGCGTTGATAAGAAAGTGAATACTATTGATAATAAGTATTAATATTAATAAATAATAATAATTGTCAGGAGTGTATGTGTAGGGACAAGGAGTGGTGACCTTAAAGTTTTTACAATAAATAAAATTAAGAATTAACAAGCCTCTGCAAGGTACACCCCCCCCCCAGACTCGTATTTTGTTCTATCCCAATCCCAATATCAAGACAAATTAACACACAGCAGGTGCGTCAGGTCACCTTGGTAATTTCTCCCCTACATTGTAAGGCACCATTACCTTTTAATTGCGATGGCCACACTGTTGTTATAGTATATCAGTCTTAATTTCTTCTCCTTTGTTAAGTCTGTCTCATCATATCCGGGTTTAGTATATCGCGACAATTAATTCATATATATATATATATATATATATATATATATATATATATATATATATATATATATATGGTGCAAATTACAGTATTTCCTGTTATTGATCTGGGGAAAAGTGATTGGGCTCATTAAAATCTGCCATTCTTGTTATTATGATAAGTAATATTGAACTCAGTACCTGATATAGTTGTGATTTTTTTAAAGCTGTCATTGAAAAAATATCACACCGGGTTTTTGGTAAAATTGAAAACAAAAAAAAAAAAGAAAATTGCATTTCAAATGCCAAGAAAGCTTCTAAAAATTAAGCAGTATTCAAAGCTGCATTTGTGATTGTTTTTTAGTCAATAAGTGGTGTGACCTTCTATATTTTAACTACAGTACATGATATTTATTGCTACACGAGAAAAACATTAGCTTGTTGTCATAGCATTACTGTATGTCACATCATATGAAGAATGGATTTTTTCCACTTATATTTCAAAGTCCATCTGAAGAAGAAGAGTTAACAGTGCCCCCTGAAACTCATGATGTTAATCCAAAACAATGCCTGAAATGTTATCCATTTTTTTTTCTTTAATGGCATCAGGGATAATCACATTTCTTCCTGGCCTTAGATATACTAAATATGACAGTTGTGTTGCCAGACATCATTGGTGGACTAAGTATTTTACACCTATATATTTTTTCAGTTTTGATCATTAAATTTTTTCTTCAAATAGCAGACACTATATAAACTTATTGACTTGAAGAACTTGCCTTTATTTGTTTTTTCCACCCAGGTAAGATTACCTAATTTGTATTAATTATATATCTGATCATAGAAGTAGAGAAATGAAATCCTGTCTACAGCATTTCTGAAATAATTTCTTTCACAGTGGTCAAGAAAGTGCAGGCATTGTGACCAGCTATGGAGATGACCCCCACAAAATTTTCTGCCACAAGGAGATGGGACTGGTCAACACAGTGTTTGATGACCATGCACTGTCCAGACTGAAGGGCAATCTGGCCATTGGTACGTTGGTGCATGTGTCTTCTGTTACTGTATCACATTTTTTTATGTCAATAATAGCTCCATAATAAACACCAATAAAATAAAAGCAGAGCCATTAATATTGTGTTAACTTGTTTCTGCTTTAGTTCAGTAATTTTTTGGACCCTGCCTTGGTGGACAAACTTTAGATCAGTAGCCTTAATATCAGTTTGATGTACTTTTTTGTTTGTTTGTTTGATTTTGCTTTTGTCTGATAACTTAATTGCTTTCATCAATTCAATATTGCATTTTAAAATAGCTGTTCATGAAATAAACTATACTAGATTTTCCTTCTTCACCATGGCAAATTTTATTTAGAATTTGCTACAAAAATAATATGTGATAGCTGAAGAAAATACTTTTTATATGAAAATAGTATGTAAAAAAAACTCATGATTGTATGCCTGGTTTTAGTCTATTTCATAATTATTTAAAACCAATGTTCAAAGTACATGAGGCAAAGTACACGAAAAGCTTACATATTCAGCATGATCAGTTTACAAAAGATACATAAAGATATAAATATTTTTCCCTCCAGTTACATAAATATCATAAGCTCTGTCATCCAAAGGTTATGCATCAACACCTGGTGTTGGAACTTTTGTTTTGTTTTGTTTTGGTTTGTTTTTCGGACAAGAGGTTCACTTCTAACTGCACTGTAGAAGCTTTTGAATAAGTCACAGTTCTTCTATCTGTCTATCTATCTGCCTGTCCATCCATCCGTTTCTCCCTTTATTCCCAATTTGCATCTTGTAACATAAGTTATGAAAATACATATATCGCCCTCCATAACATTTGTAGTATGTGAGTAAAACAATAAAAAATATATATTCCAGGTCACACACGCTACTCCACAGCCGGGGGCTCTCAGCTGGTCAACTGTCAGCCATTTGTAGTGGACACAATGCATGGTTTGATTGCTGTGGCCCACAACGGAGAACTGGTCAATGCTAAAATGCTCAGAGAAAAGGTAAGTATTACTTACATTAACAATGTACTTAGTTGTTTTACTTTTTAAAGTGGAAGAAATTAGAGAAGTAATAATTTCTTGTGTTTTGTAAAGGCTCATTATTCACATTGTTTGTTTGTTTCACACTGTCAAAATGCAGTTTTGATAAAATACTGACAACAATCTATCTCTCCACTTTAAAAAAAGTTACAACCATGCTTAAATTATACATTCCTATAAATTAACAAACTCACATATTTTTTTTACATGTATGCAGACAGCACCAATTTGCATTGCAATGCATTCACAGTACTGGCAAAACTGAAACAAATTGTTTTTCTTTTCAGGTCTTACAGAGAGGAGTTGGTCTATCCACAAAGTCTGACAGCGAGTTAATGACACAGTTGCTTTGTTTATCGCCTCCAGAGAGTGAAGAGAGTGGGCCTGACTGGCCTGCAAGGTAAAGATTGTGTTAGATGTCCTGTGACAGGTGTTGAAATGTGTTGGGTGAATGGGGTCAAACAAGCAGTTTTTTTTTTTCTCCTACAGATAATTGTAATATAATGAAATATTGAATAAGCACCAGCCAAGCTGAATAATCTCTAGCTTTTTATAGTGAAACTTTGAGGTGTGCTCAAAATCAGTGGAAAGAGTTTTATTGTGCTTGGATATTACATTTTGAAGTATCTTTTGATATAATTTTGTTTGTCAAATGAATAATAGTCATTCTTCCATAGGAACTGTTGATGGCTATAATTATCATCTTTTCAAAAAATAATAGAGATCATGATACGTGTTTAATGAATTAGGTTTTGGCAAGTAGTGTTTTCTGTTATGTATTTTGACAAAAGATCAGTAGTTGTAAAATGATAAATTTTTTTCTTGTAGGATTCGACAGTTTATGAGTGAGAGTCAGACTTCATACTGTGTATTGTTGTATTTTGGGGACAAAATTTACGCATTTAGAGACCCATATGGGAACCGTCCACTCTGCCTGGGGAAGTTGATGGGAAGTCCAGGAGGAAGAATCTCAGGTATCATATAGTTTGGGTATGGCATGTCTGGGTGTGACAACAGATTCATCCCATCTGAAAATACAGAATTTTCAAGTTAGAGACTATTTCCAGAGACTGTCGTACTAACTTTGGATCAAACTATAGCTAAGGGGATTCTTGCTTAATTGCAATTAACTTGAGCGGCTTAGATGTTTGGTACCCCTACTGAAGCAGATAAGGGGTAATTAACTATTGTTTAGCAGCTTTAGCAGGCGTGCCAGACACCTAAGCCACTTAAACTGAAAGCAATTTAACGAGAAACCTCGTGGAGTTGGACCGATACTGTAAGATTGATCTAGGGATAGGAACCCAGTCTTAGAGTTTATGTTAATCAGATTTATTTGTGGCATGGACCACAAGTAAGATATTAAGAAAATATTTAAAAAAAGAGTTGCATCAAGATGAACAGTTATTTTCATTTTCAGATAGTCAAAATGATAATGCAGAATGTGATGGTTACGTTGTGTCATCAGAGTCTTGTGTCTTCACCTGTATTGGAGCTGCTTACCACAGGGAGGTTTTACCAGGTTGGTTTTCTGGCACTACAATAGATTCTTCACAGCAACTGCTTAAATAAGAGGCTATCTAATCTGAATGGATTTCGGGTACAAGTGTTATAATAATTGTAGTTTCTGCCTGTGGAGTTCAATTGCTACCTCTCTTTCCTTGTGCATAAGACATATAGCTAGGTTGGCTATATATTTGACAATGTGTTGCATTTTTATTTGTTTCAATTTATAAGTGTAAAAATGTCTAGATGTTTATAGATCTGCCACTGAATTATGACGATTATAGGAACAAGACACCAGCTGATTCTCATAGTACAGGCTCATTCATTTCCTTGAAATTCCTATCAAATATTCTTGAACCAAAACAGAAATCATTCAAACTTATGATTCCGTGTTTTGAATGTTAGTGTAACTTTATGGGATGAATGTTTGCCTTGACATTTTGATTTTTTTAAATTTTGCACTAGTTAAAGCTGATCAGAAGGTATATTTTTCAAATTTTGAAGCACAGAATCTGATATGGTGATCCAAGTGATGCTGCTTTAATGTATAACTATTTAGTATAAGTGTATTTCCACATGTTTTTCACCTAGGAGAGATTGTTGAAATATCCCGCAGTGGGTTTAAGTCTGTGTGTGTAGTGCCCCGTGCAGAGGACAGAAAGGCTGCATTTTGTATATTTGAGTATGTCTACTTTGCCAGGCCTGACAGTATATTTGAGGGTAAGTAGTCTGGTGTTTTTTTATTTAACGTTGTAGCATTGGAAGTCTTTTGTTCAGTACATGTGGCCAAGAGACGGAGACTGAATCTGATAAATGTACTTGTTGAGTTTCAAAACTGTCCAAGCAAGGTCATAAAGAACTCATATTATTATTATTATTATTATTATTATTATTATTATTATTATTAAAACTTACACCCTTTTTAATTGTTCATAAATTATCTAATTCAGGTCAAATGGTTTACAATGCCAGATTTCGCTGTGGAGAGATGTTGGCCAAAGAATTACCAGTGAAGGCTGATTTAGTTAGTACAGTCCCTGAGTCTGCCACACCCGCAGCACTGGGGTTCTCCAAACAGGTGAGGAAAACTAGTGCCATCAACAAGACAATAATTAAAGAAGTTTTATTGTAATCAATTACCCCACATGTAGTGGTGACTAAGCTGGTTCATTAATTTTTGAAAGTTTTTTCTAATGAAACAAGCACCATAACATTCAGTATACATACATAAACATTTTACAGTAATTTTTGGTTAAGAAATAAAGTGCATTACGTTACTGTGCCAAGCCTTAGCAACTAGCTTCACTGTGCATCATTCAGAAGGTGTTGAAATGTTTTCCAAATTGATAATTCTTTTTAACTTTAATGGGATTACAGATATTTTCAAGCTTTAAAACTCCTGTTTTGCTTGTATTGTCTATGCAATGTGTTAATTAATTCTAATTTTGTTCCATTTTATTTTCAGGCAGGAATACCATATGTAGAAGTCTTATGTAAGAACAGATATGTTGGCCGCACATTTATCCAGCCCAGTTTGAGGCTGCGACAGATTGGAGTTGCTAAGAAGTTCGGACCACTCACCGAAAACTTTCGCGGCAAACGTGTGGTTCTAATAGATGATTCCATAGTTCGTGGGAACACCATGGCACCCATTGTGGGGCTTTTAAAGCAATCGGGAGCCAAAGAGGTAAAGTACAAAGGACTGGAATTCTGTGAATGGCCCCATTCAGAATAGGGGACTAGCTTGTCTGAGGGTCAAATATGGCGACCCACTACAAAGCTTGCCGTCTAATCCGCTAATAGACACTGAATAGATATCCTTTGGGGAAGTATTCAAGTGGGTCGGCCATATTTGACCCTCGGACTAGTTAGTCCGCTCTGAATCGGGCCTAATGTGCATTCTTTATCAGTTTAATGCAATGAGATTTTTTTCTGAAAGGTTTACATAATGGGGTAGAAGTATTTGGTAACTTTTTTTGCGTTCTTTATTCCAGGTTCATGTTCGTGTGGCCTCTCCACCAATTAAGTATCCATGTTACATGGGGATAAACATTCCTACAAAAGAAGAGCTCATAGCTAACAAGCTATCCCTTGACAAGTTATCAGTTTACTTGGGTGGGTTTAAAAAGTGTCTTTGGTTTGACTTTCATATTATTTCACAAGTATCAGACCTATAAATGGAGAGAGCAAAAAATTGAACATCTTCAGTGTACATCTTCAGTAATCTTTGAATGTAATATGATTATTCCACATTTTGGGAATTCAATTGAAGAAATCCAGAACAAAGCATTTCCCCCCCCAACCCCATCCATAAACACACCTGCGTTGATTTAAGTGCTAGTACGAAGTTCCACCCTTCATTGTGCTTGTTGAGCCAATTAGCATGTGAACTGTGACATACAATTAGAAGACATTGTGGTAGTTGAGATGGTCAGATGTGACACACATTGTGTTCTTTATATTTCAGGAGCAGACAGTGTGGGGTATCTCTCTGTGGATGGTTTGGTCACTGCCGTTCAGGAAGGAATTCCCAACAAAACCAAAGGCACTGGACACTGCACTGCTTGCCTGACTGCTAACTACCCAGTAGAGCTAGAGTGGTAGTATGTTAATATTGGGATGGGGGGGGGGNAGATGAGTATGAAATGCCAGGATGAGGTGGTAAAAATATAGTTTTGGAAGTGCATTTATGGTACAGTTCAAGTCAGATATGAATTGAATATCAAAAATTGATTAGGATTAAGCTGCATTTAAAGATCATGAAAATATGGATTGTTATACAGGTTCACAACCACAGGTATTTTTTGGTTTTAACCTTTTTCATTATTGCATTAGTACCAAGACCAAGACTGTCATTGAAAATTTTTTAGGGTTAGAGTTTTAAAAGATACTTCACACTGTACTTGATATTTTGAAATTTACAAGACTGTTTCTAAAATTGATTTTCCTTTAAGAGTGTCACATCACAAAGAGTTATTGTTTTATTGTTTTTCACTGTTATATTTGCACCACATAAGTACTATGTGGCCCCTTATCTAAATGTTGTAGTGATAGCTTTTCATTTTCTATCATAATGGCCATTGTATTATTTGTTTTATTTTACATTATTTAAGTTGTGTTGTCCATGTTCAAATGCCTACATATTGCTTTTGGTACAATTATCAAAAATGATAGTGATTATTATTTCTGTTATTATTGTTTTTATTATTAAAGCTTTTAATCTGTTCACAGTTTTGAGTACAGATTATAGTTGCATATTAAGCCATAAACTTATCAGCTCACTAGCCATTTGGACCACCACTTTCCTAAAATAAACAGCCAAAAATAGCTTTAAAACAGCGCCTTCAATTTTTTAGTTGTAAATTAATCTATTTATTCGTTCATTTAGTTAGTAAATAATGCAGTACTGTGTGCATTTTTTAATCATCATTCCAATGTATGGATGTAGCTGTGCCTGCTATTGCATGTGTATACAAATTAGTTGCCAAAAATAACCGAGGGATATATAAATTTGGAAAAAAAAGAAAGAAAATGTTAGTCAAATATAATGTTTCTGGAAATATGAAACAATTTCCTTTGATATTATATTAAGTTATACTATTTGAAACTATATGGTAGCATTTGGTTGGGTTTTGTGGTAAAAATTTGACTTCAAATGCATATTTCATATTAGTAATAACAAGACCTTGGTTTTGTCAAAGTATTTTTTTTTTTACTTTTTATTTAAAATCATCATGTAACAGTTACAATTTCAAAAATATTAAATCAAATTGAAAACTTTTGAAAACGTATAGAAAAAAAAATTAATGGCCATGTTGGACCACTGAATTCAAAAAATACTGATAATCCACTGGTTCAAACAAAATTTTACCATCCACGGGTGTAGAAACAGTGGTTAAGGTTGCAGACTGATATAAGTATGGGCAAGTAATTAGTTGTTTTTTTTTACAATTTTTTTGTATTTGCTTGAAAACCAAAGCTTTAAGAATTTTTGATAGTTATTAAATTATATCAGTTTTTTGTAACATGGCAGCAAGAAGAAAATTATATTACACATTTTCCAATTTCTTTTATGATAGAAAGTGCACTTCTTGGTAAGATTTCTTGAATTTGCTGGCAAAATTTTTGTTCAGCATACTGAATGTTATATTGTTTTACACATGAATTTACACACATTTTTGTCATGTGGAATTCACTAATAAAAAAGAAAAAGCAATACTCTTGTTGACTTTTGTTTAAACAAAAGATCAAAGAAAAGTTATTTGGTTTGCCAATTTTATCAAAAACACCAAATACGTATTTGCAAGTGTTTGAAGTACATTAATTGCGACTTTGAATACAACATTCTCAATTTTTAGAAAGTAAACAACAAATATTAAATAGGAAATGCTTCAAAGCAAATAAGTTTTTAAATGGAAACAACGGCATTGATAAGAATAATAGTAAACAGCATTTACATGTTCGTGTAGTTTTGATAACTACATGCACTTTCTCCAACGAAGTAAGTTATATTATCGTCGGCGCTGGTTTTTCAGTTATTGGACAAAATCTTAAAACGTTTTAGAAAAAAGTTGATCAAGTTTGAGAAGTGAGGAAGAGAGATGGGTACAATTATAAAATAGAGGTCCTATTAAAATAATTCTATTGTCCCATTTTTGTCATCACATCTTATGTCATCTCACTGATATCATCTAGATTCGAAAATAAAATCGTCGTTTGGCATACAAGTTTTTAACTATCCCAAACGTGAAAAACGCGTCATAGTGTCAGTGTTTCAAGAGGCGGACTATAAAAAAGACTAAGGATCAGATAATAAAAATAAAAGTTGCTGTCACGCGTCAGTCATGGGATGCATTGACCCCAGAATGTAGTATTATGTAATCTAGACCAGACAAAGATCAGTAATGCATCATGCGTAGAAATAGTTAAAATTAATTCAATGGCACAAGGCTTCCAGCCAAATATCAAAAATATATATATAGAAGAGGCGATGTTTATTAGAACAGCAGTAAATAACGTTTAAATTAGTTTTGAGAATTTCTGTCGCCGACAAAGAGGGTTATATTCTCATAGCCCAGCGCTGGTTTCTCAGGTATTAGAAAAGATCTGAAAAGTTTTACAAAATTTTGATTAATCTTTTGAATAGGGGCACTTATTAGGGTGTCATATACTTGGTATGAGAAAATGGCCGTTTGGCGCGACTTATTCCTGTATGGAAGTATGCCGAAAGAGCAAGACGTGTCATGAAGTCAGTGTTAGAAACGGCAGTCTACAGGTCAGTCTAAGATCAGATAATAGAAATAAAGGTTGTTGTCACATGTCAGTCATGGTATACTAACTCAAGCGTGTAGCATTATGTAATACCTCGTACTTTCTGACAGACACTTGCCAAACACTTTTATTCCTTCACTTTGTGACAACGACGCGCACCTTCGATAAATACAGACATTTTATGACAAAAGCAGTTATTTCAAGACAACACCAGGAGACGGTTAGGTTGTGTCCCCAGGTCGCCACGAAGAGTGGTAAAATTGTGAAATAGCAGTTCTCTTCTGGTCGTCATGAAGCTTGGTTCAATTCTACCTACCTTGTTGCTGAGATCGTGCATCTCCTGCCTCGACGCGGCTCATATTGACTGGACACCTGATGAAGGTTTAGGTACGTTTTTTTTTTTTTTTTTTTTTGCAAACTTAATTTTGAGTGAATTCATAAAGTTTTGTTTACTCTGTCTTTCGGAGGGTACAAGACGGGGTCTCCAAATCGATAGAGATCGCTCCAAGGTGATATGACAACTGCTCACCATCACGTTGTCACTGGGTAACCGGATTTGCGATGGACGTTTAAAAACTTCCATGCACGGCTGTCATCTCGATCGGTTAATCGAATTTTAAAAACACGGTACTAGTTTAAACATGTAGTTAAAAAAGAAAACAAACAAGATGGGCATTTTTATCTTAAAACAATTGTGATACAATGAAATCGCCACACGTAATGAATAAGTGTACTAAATTCATTTTGACCTTTTCTTCACTTTGTTATCGTATACTGCAGTGATATTTGAAGGGAGTACAGCTAAGATTCTTTGAGCGATCAAATTGAAAATGTAAACTTGTAAAAATTTTGTTAAAAACACACTTTCCAGTGTTTCCCTTCGAGGCTCTTTATACAAGAGAACTCAAATAAAAACAATTGGATTTCAACAAAGATTTCTAATAATTTTAAATGGTTAAGTTGCGTTTCACTTATAATCTAAAAGCATGCGTTCTGTGCTTATGCTCTAAGCTGATTTGTCTTGAATCAAACGTTTATGACGCTTTTAGACCAATTTTATGTAGTCAGCTACCCAAGTTTAACAATTTCAACTTAACCTAAACATTTCAGTATTATTTAAAACAGCCTCTGAGATAGCAGTTATTTGAATTTAATTTTTTGCATTAGTTTTTTAGACAAAAAACATCATTGGGCGCAAAGAATTGTTGGTCACTTTTTCTAGATATGTACATATGAATGAAAACAGTAAATTGATTAAAACACGCTTTAATTACATAACATGCCAAAATGCAGGGTTTTTAAAAAGCTTATTTTAAATTGCAGACTTTCAGCTGGTAACAGTTCGCGAATTGCCGCAAGCTGCCGTTAGGGGTCGGGTAGAACGAGGATTGGATGAAAATCTCGCTACAAGACGGTACCAATTTGATGCCTATAGTAAGCACTTCGATCTTCGGTTACATAGGAACAGTCGCATTGATATCAATAGCATCCCAGTGTATTATGTGGCGGACGACGGGAGTATCCTGAAGAAAGAAGAAGAGAGTGAAGATGTATGTAATATCAAGTTTCTGATCACTTAGAAACACAGAATGAGCTTGATGCCTTTAAGTGCCAAATAAACAAGTATCAATTTATCACCAAGGTATTCCTATCCAATAATGTTGATCATGTTCATTGTTCCATTACACTTTTGAATCTAGAGTATAATAGTTTATTAATCTACTTTCTGTCTTGTGGCAAAGTCTGTGACCTATTTTATTCTTTTTAATTTTAAAGGTTTTAACACAGCGACGCTTTTTACAGGGCAATTTATACCCGATTTTGTATAAATAACATAGGCCTACTTATTAGCAAAATAAATATTTACCTTAAAATTTGAATTTTTCACCTCTTCAGGATTTCGTCTTGTACCAAGATAAGGGTAGTAATGCGGCTGTTGGCATGTCTGTTGTGGCGGATAAAGAGAAATTGGTAAGTAAAGTTTAAAGAGACAAAAGAGCTGGCTATCCGACCGAAAAAAGGTAGTTTTTTAACTGCGTTCCAGTTTTATATGTAGGCCTATCAATGCACACACACACACACACACACACACAGTTTGAATTACGCTACTTGTATTCAGTCTTGAATAGTGATTTTTGCACATTTTCCATTGCCGTCTTAGAATAAAATTGTATTTCCAGGAGGGTTTTGTTGTTGACGGTGACACGATGTACGAGTTGAGGCACGTAGCAGACGATAACTACCACGTGGTGCGGAAGAAAATTGAAAGCATAAACGCAGTCGACGGCAGGGGTTTCATTGATACAGACACGGAAGTTCGACATTTTGGCGGAACGAAGGGTAAAGGAGACGATTGCATAAATTACCTAACCAATATACATTTTACAAATATTTATTTTATATATATATATATATATATATATATATATATATACACTGATGCTCATAAGTTAAAGTGATAATAACTCTTCGTTTCGGCCAAAAAATGAATTTTCTTGGAGTAAACAACAATTTTCCCATACTTACCAATGGTTAATGAATCCATTTTTACATTCAAAGTTAGTCCCTGGTTTTTTTCTGAAAAGTTTGGTTTTTTGTTAAAATCTCTTAAGAGATTTTAACAGAGTATAGCCATCAATGGAGGTCACGTGGTCTAAAGATATCAGAATAATAGCTATAACAGCCGTTTTTGTGGGAAAACAGAATATATTATATTTTTATAAGTCATTCACAATGTTTTTATTGTGAAATACAGATTTCATACGAAGAGTTATTATCCCTTTAAGCAACACCCCGATTTTTTCAAAAGTTTCTTCTATCATGATCATTATTTCATTTGTTGGTGGGATTATGCATATTTCTTTCATATTTTATAAATAACTTATTCAAGTTGAATATTTCGGTTAAAGAAATACACCACACAGCTTATTGTAATAATCAAAATGACTTTATTTAACAAAACGGTACTAAAATATGCCAAACCATGTGTCAAAAAAGTATGCTCACACAGCAAAAAGTACGTGCTGATTAAAACAGCTTATTATGAAAAAATAAAGTTCGATCATCTAAGAATTAGTTTTAATAAAAGAAGACTGTAGATAATAGATGATTAATCGTCTATTGTGCAATAAATATCGGGTGTGCTTTCCCTGGTTTTGAACAACAGCTTCACATTGTCTCCTGCAACTTGCCACCAAATTCTGCCAATCTTGCTTTGAGAGCCGGTTCCATTCTTTATTTACTGCCTGTTGGGCCTCTCTAATGTTTCTAACTGGAGGTTGTCTCTCATTTATTGCCCTGTCAATCATATCCTAAGCATGCTCGATTACATTGAGAATTGGTAAATATGCAGGCCAATCCAAATGTGGGATACCGCGCTGTTGCAGCGCGTCTTGCACGGACCATGCTTTCTGGATGAGCGCATTGTCCTGCACCAAAATGATTTTTCTTTCTGGATTTGCTTGAATGTGTGATTGTATGCACCCCAATGGTATTTCGGCTCTGTATTGCTGACCAGGGCGCCTCCCTTGAATGACGTACGGTGGCAATTTTTCATTGTTTGGCTGAAATGAACTGGTCTTGGTGGCATAATCGAACCAGATATCTTCATCTCTTGCGTCGGTTAATATAGGTCTACCAGAAAGAGGCTTGTCCAATACATGATGAGTTTGGCGCAATTTTGCTACCAGCTTGGACACTTGACTTGGTGCTGCTTTTTTGTTGCCTTGCAATCTGTCTCTTTGGCACCCCAGCACGATGGCTTCCCATTATTTGCCATCTGATTACCTCGTTGAGTCCTCTTCTAGCCATTGGTTGGTCCAAAATAACAAATTGTACCCAAGAAACTAGCCAAACTGGAAGCTCCTCATTGCATGGCCAAACTGTGTTTTTCGCAAGTGGCACCCCCATTGCATATTCTATCGTGTCCAACAGTAAATAGTACTCTAATGTCACGGTCCAGTAAGTCAAAGTAAAAACAAGAGAAATATCTAGCTATTGTACAAATTTTGCCTCAATAAAAATTTTGGTTGCTGAGAAATTCGAGAAATAAGAAAGTGTTGCTTAACTTATGAGCATCAGTGTGTGTGTGTATATATATATATATATATATATATATATATATATATATATTTGATTCCAAGGTATTGTTGAAATGAATTATTTTCATAGTTTTCAAGTTTTAATTTCGCTTGAAACTGATTTACTGTGGTTCAAGGTTTATCGGAAATATTTGCTTTACCATAATAATATTCTAGAATAATAAGGTTTATCTGAACTATTTTCTTAACCATAATGTTATTCTAGAAGGAAACGCTCAAGAACGTCGGTCCGCTAAAACGATTTCTCTTCCCGAACCACCGTTACTCCGAACCAAAAGACATGGAAAGAAGACGAAAAAAACAAAAACCAAGAAGAACAAAAAATCACCCAAAGCGAAAGGCTCACCCAGGTTCAGTGGGAACCATATTGACGCCTGCGTTGAACTTCTTATTCTCAGTGATGACTCGATGTGGGATTTTTATATGGCAAGGAATGACCAGAACGTCGACAAAACTGAATGGGAATTGAAACGGCTTTATGCTCAAACCACGAATATGGTATGTTTTCCTGACTCTAGGATATTATAAAAAGATGTATATAAAGCAAAAGCTTATGTCAAACCATGACTGCTTTTAGACTAAAAGTATTTAGATCAATCTAAAACAAATAAAAATCTATTACTTTGGTTGAGTTATTTGAATTAGTGTAGTATCTTGAAACCTCTAGGTTGGTTGGATCCCTATCCGAAAAAAACTTTGTCCGTAAACTCCCATTGAATATTTCGTTTTCTTTTTTATTTTTTTGTCTGTTGTATTTAAGGCCAGTGGAATATTTATTTTTATTGCACAACAAGATATTTATTTAAAATTTATCTTGAACAACGTGTGGCATCTTCGAGTAAAATATAATGAATTACATTCATTCCTCTATATGGTTTGATTTTCATCCCTATACATTGGCATATAGTCTAGCTCTTGATGTTTCGATGTTGGAATTTTCCAGCTGGACCTCACTTTTCAAAGAATAGAAGATCCAGATTTGAATATCCACGTGGTGTTGTCAGCTTATGTCATTGTAACGGTAACTGGATTTTTTTCTATATCTTGACTAAAGATTAAATCTTTGACTAAAGACTCGTTGTTTGTATAAAATCTAAAGGCTTGACTTAAGATTCGTTGTTTGACTTTGCAAGAAGTTATAACTCTTCTTTATAACTTCTTGGACTTTGTAAGCTGAAGGACGCAATAGAGGTCAAACGGTGCACTAAAAGAAAAAGTCATTTTGAGTCGAAACATTTCTTTTTTAACCAATAATGATATTCTAAGTAATCGTCAATTTTAAACACAATTTTTACTTGCTGTTCTATCCATCGTAACACCTAGTCATAAAAACACTTTTAGAAAAAATGTGGCGTATTTTGTGTTAATTTTTTTCTGTTTTATTTCATCAGAACTCCTCCCAGGCACCCGGCTTCGGTAGATATACTTTCCCTGGAGAACCGGAGAGATTGGACAGAGTTCTGGTTGACGGATACGAAACTTACGATTATTGGAGAGAATTCCTACAAAAATCTTATAACTCATTTCCAAAACACGACCATGGCATGGCTTTTACAAGGTGTTTTAAATGCGCATTCAAAAGATTTGAAATTTTCACAGCCTTTTTGTGTTGATATTTTCAGATTTGTAATTATTTTATGAAAATTGTAAAATTTAGATATTTCAAAATATATGATTATCAATTTATAATACCTACAATACCAATGAAGCAGAATTCTAGCTTACGCCCCAACCCGAGTCCAAGTGTATTTCTAGTAGGCCTAATGTTTCATGTTATTTTTCGCAGGCGAGATATAACAAGCCGTACACCGGAAAAACCTTACCTTCTCGGTCTAGCTAATGTGGGTGCAATATGTAATGGAGCTGGTTCCACGTCTCTTGTTGAGGATTCCGGACTGTTATCCTACTTGACGGCAGCACATGAATTAGGCCACAGGTACTGTATACGCTCGCTCGTAGGCCTACTTACCTTAACAGCAATGCTTCTCTTCTTAGTTTCCTAGACGACTTGTGAAAGTCCCTATGTTAATGTTATAATTCATGACACGACGTATGCCATATTGTAATAATGTGCAAGCAGCATTGTGTCCTTTTGATTTGCATATTTTTTTCTTTTCCAGCCTTGGAGCTCTTCATGACGTCACTCCTGCCTGTCAAGGGTACCTAATGGCTGCCTCTGTTTTTGAGCTCAATGTGACGACTCTTTTTCAACTTTATAAGTTCTCCTCTTGTTCCATAGAGAAATTTAAAGAAACCCTGACGTAAGTTTGTTCAAATGTGGGTTACCACGGGCCTGATACATGTAAGTTTTTCAGTTTGATCGAAAAAGAAAATAAATTTTGTAAAAAACCAAGGGATGTTGAGCTTAGCTAGGACGGCTGAAATTGGATAGCCGACAACGTGAAGTAAATACTGCAATAAATGGTTAATAGTGCAATACTGATCTGAGAGTTTCTGAGTATGATTGGCCTATCATAAATATTAATTTGACAGAAAGAAATGGGCTACTTTCCCCGTTATCGAACGTTTGTTAATTGCCAATCACAATTTACTCTAAAATAACAATAAAAAGATAGCCTTCTAAGATCTTTATGAAAAGCAACCTAGTTGAAAAAGTAGTAGTAGTAGTAGGTTTTGTATGTAACACAAAAAACTGTATTACTTTTTTGTTTTGTATTGTTTTGTTTATGTAAATTAAGCTTTTAAAATCACTATGTAGATAGTAAAACAGCGTTTTATATTAGTTCATAGTATTTTACGATAAATATTTTTTCCATGCATAAAATAAATGTTATAATGATTATAAAAATGTTATTATATTTTTACCACTCATCTACATGTAGAAATGCCTGTTGTCTCGCTGACGGTGGACAGTACGAAAATGAGAAGGAGTATAAACATTTGACGAAAAAGCTTCACGGTGACCAATACGATGCAGACGAACAATGTCAGCTGGTATTTGGAAACGAGTCGAAAGCATGCACGGTAATCTCCCTTTTTTCTTCTCCTTCTTTTCTCTCTGTGTGTGTGTGTGTGTGTGTGTGTGTGTGTTTGTGTTTGTGTGAGTCACGGGCGGATGGAGGCCGTCTTCTAGGTCTTCCAGAAGACAGTCAGAATTTCAAGTTTACATTGACGGGCATCTAATTTTTTACAAACAAATGGGAGGGACAAAATGGAGGATGGAGCAATAAAGATAATTTGGAAGACTCACGAAATATCTCAGAATCCGCCCCTGTGTGTGTGTGCGTGTGTGTGTGTGTGTGTGTGAGAGAGTGTTGAAGTTTCTCAAAGATATGCATCAGTTCTGTTAAAAATCGTGATGTTTTCTGATTGTATTTCAGCCTATCGAATCTCCAGAATTTTGTCATTTTCTACTATGCAATACTACGACAACATGCCATAACCAGCTGAATCCGATGGATGGCACTTTCTGCGGAAAAGGAAAATGGTGTATAGAGGGCGACTGTGTAAGTAAAAGGGCGCCTCTTCCCTCGCACTATACTCAACGACGCGGGGCTAGTGGTGAACCGACTTCTTGGTGTTCAGAAGGTAAGGGGACGAGAAGTGTAAAATACGGCTTGGTTAAGGCTTGAAAAGGCCCTTCAAGTTCTCATGGTAATTATAAAGCCCAATGTTCTCATTCAACTAGGATATCTGACTTTAACCACGACTTTGCCTCGTACAAATTAACCATTTTAACATTACATAGATAATAAATAGGTATACCTATTATTTTTAAAGATGGATTTTAGATTTACATGCGTCGAGGTCTAGGTAAGGAGTTTAAAAAAGCCTATTATCTTATCATAAATTGTTTGACTACCAAGTGCATATTATCTTTCGTTTTTCAGTACGGCGGAAATGACGGGAATATAAAGACTTGTAAAATGCCCAGAGAATACCTCCATACGCCATAGGCCTACCAAATTTCTTTTATTTGTAGTCCAGGAAATACATGTATGTGCGAGCACTATATTGTTACAGTGTCATTGGGAAAAGTATATATAGTGGGTATTGACGGTTTCTATCAATACTACCCGGAACACGGTCCAAGACAAGATCCACAGGACAAGAAAGGGAAAGGTGGAATATATTGTTTTATGCTGCATTCTATTTCTTAAACGTGTTGTCATAGCACAAACTTATATGCACTGTATAATATATAAAAAGAGTATTTCAGCAGTGTAAAAAAGAATGGCACAATAGGTTTTTACTACCATTTATTTCTCGATGTTTGCATTTTCAGTTGGCAGCCCAATTTTGTAATCAATATAATGTGCTTTATTGTTTTATGTGATGAAACTCTTGGATGACACGATAATTATTACAATTATTTTAAATGGTATTTTTTCACCATATTCCGACGTTTTATTCTTGGTTTACGTGGATACATGATAATGTGTCCAAATAGCACCAAAGATGTAAAATTTTATTGAGACATTTTAATTGTTTTTCCTTTTTTAAAAATAATTTTAAAAAGTCTAGACTTGCTTCACCAAAGCTATTTTAACTCATTACATTACTTGCAGTCTACATCTTTGAGTAGTCTTAGAGCTAGGGTCACCTTACCGTCTCTCTGCCGTCTCTCTCTCTCTACATTTGAGAGCCACGGACTTGCCACAAATCTACCATTCTATCTACTGTACATGTACATATGTCTTGTAATAAAGTAAATTTATCATCCATCATCACTATTATTTTCACACAGGATTTTTTTTTTTACTTTACTTTATCCCTGACTGTATGTTTGTGTCCGCTTGGTAAACAAGATAAATAAAACTGAATACTGGGACTTCATTACTTCTTTTAGTTGCCCTAAGCATGAATATATTCTCCGAGTACGTACCTGTGACTCGTACCTGGGACTGGCTTACACCAAATTACCTCACCTCTGGTGACTTTTTTAGGTGGACGAGATCAAAAGAGCCAAATGACAGTAATGAACCACAACTATTTCTTCAACTTTAGAATCGTTACCTGATCTCCCCTTTCCGTCAGCTTTAAGTGGGTGGATATTTATTATTTAAAATTTGTAACTTTGAAGAGACTCTGGTTTCTTGTTTAGACTTCTTTTTCGTGGTTTGGATTTACATTTAAGATCGAAAATAAATAGTGTAACACTACCGCTATATTACTGTTTACTGGATTTATATCCCTGTACTTGACCAGACCATGTGACCCCAAGGTTTTCTTTCCTTTTTCTTTTTTTAACTACCTTTTTTAAACTAATCTTGGCACGTGTAGTTCTTCCTTTCTCCCGTATTTGAAGGTCTTTGCCACTGGCGGTTTGAGTTGTTTTGGACCGTCTCATCTGCTGTCTTTAAAAAACCACAGGAGGGGATCTGCACCAAACAAACTAGCTGCCTGCTGCCTGTCAGTGCCAGTTGTAATTTATTTCTTGTCAATGGACTCTTTGCCCAACACGATCGAATTAATTAATTACGTCAACAACAATTGTACTTATGCAACAAGCATTAACATCCCATAGCTGTACATTGCCATACATGGTCCACGTTATACACAGACAAACTTAACGAGGTAAAAGAGTGCATTTTGTTTTGGTACTGATAACGCAGGATTTCGGTTGGAACCTGGGCACCGTATCTCGAAAAGTTCGCTATGTTGCGCACGTGCGTTAGTGTCTCGATTCCATGGCCCCGTATCTCGAAATAGAATCGGTTATGGAATCGAGACACTAACGCACGTGCGCAACATAGCGAACCTTTCGAGATACGGAGCCCTGACCAATAACTTGAATGCTCCTCGCTTTTTATTTGTCATTTGTCTCACCAGTCATCCACGCTGCCGAGTTCCATACAGGTAGTTAATAAAGACTACATGGCCACGTGGAAGAATACAAAGAAAGGCTTGAAAGAGAAAAGGGGTGTTTATATGTTGAAAATCCGAAATATAAAGGTCAAAATCAGAAAAAAAAAAAAAATTTTAAAAAGTTATGCAGGGTGCACATGTACTCCTTTTAGAACTAACGTTATCTGCAATAAACTCTTCTTCCAGTCGTTACAAATTTTGATAATAATGATCATTTTACACTAGATAGTATTTGTGAAAACGGATGGGGGGTATCTGGGTCACAACGACCTGGCACTCATCGTCAAATGATGCAGCTTTTTGTAGATCAAATTATTTCTGTGCGCGCTCTAACCTTCACTTCTGAAAATATAACTATATGCATCTTATGCAGTTCGTCTCTTTCAAATTTAAACAGTGACCTAGACACTCCTGCGGCACCTGTGCGGAATTTTGAGGCTGGCACGACAGATATGACGAATTAGAAAATGCAATTTTGATGACATGTTTTCGGTGTTGAACTTTCCTGATTGGGTAATAAGCGAACATTGTTGTGTCACCCCCTCGTTTTTCACTAACCTTCTTCAGTTTTATCAACAAACCCGTTTATATAATTTAAATATGTTAAGAAGAAAACTCTGCCGAACAAACAAAAAGTTTGCAGCTTATACCTGTTTACCATTGGACGTAGAGGAACAATTTCACAACCACCCCCCCCCCCCCCCCCAAAAAAAAAAGTTGTAAAAAATAAAAGAGAGGGGAGGACATGAAATTTCCGTAGATCACTTTACACTTTACTGGTATTGTGGACATTTATCATAATTAATGAAGCCTGTCTACTGTGACTATGTCGAAAACTTCCCCTGTGCGCATATGGCCCCTAATTTGCTCACTCTCAGGCTCGATTGGGTTTAGGTGGGGTGGGTGGGTTGGGTGGGTGAGGTGGGTGAGGGGGGAGGTTGGGACGTGTTAACCACGTTACACCCTCGCTAAGAAAGGGCTTTGCGTATGTCTTTTATCTCTGGCCAGTATGTACTTACTAGAGACTATCTTAAGTTGAGAAGAAAGAAATCTAGAGGTGAGCTGTTCTCTACAATATTTACTATGAATTGCTAAAAAGATTTTTAATACAGACACGTGTACAGTGCAAAACGATTCACACCAATAAGTAAATAAAGTGGAATTGGAAAGACAGTGAAATATGGATAAGATAATGTACGAGTGAATAAGGTTGAATATAGAGTCCTATTGCTACCAGTGAAAGGGAATACTTAGGTTTAACGGGACGGAACTCGTTAATATCACCGATAAGTTAATAAAGATCATTTCCATTTTTCATTGCCTATCTACATTGATATAATATGATGATGATTTGACTATCATCTATTTGTCATTTGTGTCAAATTTACCATAGCATTACAAAAAGAATGTTTTTTATAAATGTTTATTTTGTCACGTTTACAGTGCGCATTTTATTAAATGGTTCACATTACATTTAATTTAACTCTTTGAATGTTTGTATTTTAACCACAAGTTGATGCTTTAATTGTTAGTAAGAAAAAAATGTACCACCGGCAAGTATATTATTTCTAGAAAATTCATTTTTTTGTTTTTGCTCTATGAAGGTCGAACGCTCATTGTCTGTCTTTAAACGAGTTTGTGGAAATGGAAATCCCATGATTGTTATGATGATGAAAAGAATAATGATATTAATTTTGGTGTCTGGCATCGCCTGGGGATTGGCCAAAGCTCGAGTTATGGTATATAAGCAGTGACCACGACGGACGAATTGGCATTTGAAGAGGTACAGGTAAGGCACTGTAAGAACAGCTTGCGGGGAGTTTCATTCATTATTATGAGCAAGTGAATACGACAAGTCACGCAATGGCTCGTTTTAATGATTCAAATAGAAGTAGTTTAAGTGGCATTGCTCTCAGTACAGCTAAAAGAATTTTTGATTTGTAGGTAATTATCGTGGATCTTTTGAGATTGAAAACAGAATGTATACTTTAAACCGTAAATGAGCAAAAGATTGCCTCAAATTCTTTCCGCATTTTCAATATTTCTTTCCTTTCAGGTAACAATCACATCTAGTGTTCAATGGAGACCACAATGGTGCTTTTCGCCGCGTTGTGCCTTTCTGTTGTTGTTCAAATACAAGGTATGTGCGCCTCGATTTCAATTTTTTTCTACTATTTGTCCAAAACAACTAAAAATTCATCCACACTGGCGATGATTGTAATGGTTTTACTTACTGACTGTAAGAAAAGAAGTACACAATACCAGAAGTACTGTATACCTTTTTTAATGCATATAACTGATTGTGTAAGTTAAAGAAAAAAGGACTGAAATTTTTTCATGTGCGTTTTGATTGTGTGTTATAAAGCTGAAAATTTAAAAAAGACGATATTGTTTCGAAAAGCAATTCAGAACACCAAAATGGTTTTTTATTTTTTATTTTTTTGCACAGGTCACAGTTGGTCTAGATGGTATGATCGCGACAACCCTTCGGGTACCGGCGACTGGGAAACTGTCGCTGATCTGCGGGTACGTGGTGTCTGCCTTTTCTGTTTGAACATCTTATTGACTGGCGAATGCAGGATCTTGCTGTGGGTGGGTGGGTGGGGGGCGGGGGAGATGGGGGGCATAAAGAGCGAAGAGGTGTAGCCAATAAGAAATAGTTGATGAGTACAATCACATTGTCATACATAGTTCTCAGGTTTGAAAACGTTGGCGTGTTTTATCTCGCTCTTTTTTGTTATAGTGAAAAGAAGGTGATGTTGAAGCCATTTGTACCACACATACGTCATTGTTACTCACAGCAGTGATAGTCAAATGGGTTTGAATGCCTACACGATTTTGAGAGGCTATCAAAGAAGAGAAAAAGCAGCATTCCAACCAATTTCTCTATCAATTTCAGAAATCTCACTACATTTGTGGTGGTTGCAAGCCGATTGGGGCCGAGTGTCGTGTTAAAGGCTCCTCTACTGTCTTCACGCGCTGGAGGGGTTCTGCACCCGATAAGCTCGCTGCCAACTGCCTCCCAACTAAGGGTCTGATATGCAAGAACGCCGATCAAGGCTCTGGAGGCTACTGCAAGGACTACGAGATACGGTTTCTCTGCCCTTCTACAAGTAAGAATGACTTTAAACAACCCATTTTAATATATTTTAATTGAAAACTAAAAGTTAAAATAACAAAGTGCTTTAGACATTTATACTTCCATTATGACTTCTGGAACCGTTTTTAGAAGGCTTGGCATTATCATTATTTTTGTAATTTTATCACTGTTATTTACGTTTTACATTTGTAGGGGTGGAAACGGGACCGTATTTGGACAGAGATGACCCAAGTGCGACTGGAGACTGGGAAAGCGTGTCTAGTTTTCGGGTAATCAAAAATTTAGTTTTATAACTACGCATTGGTATTGTGAAAAAATGAGTTTTCAAATAATATACAATGGCGACCTGTGACTTTTCTGAATATCTAAATTCTGTAAAATATTTTGTACGTTTATTTTGTAAAAAAAAAGATTAGAAAAGATTTAATGCATAGAAAGCGGTCCTGTTAAAACCTTAACATTGAAAAACCGAAAAGCTGGTTCACAGCAATTTTTATTTGATCCAAACAAATAATTATTATTTAGACATTTCCCGAAATAGGCACTGACAATGCTTACAACTATAGTTCAGCACGATGGGCTATTGTTTGAAAGTCCATATTTCCTTGTGAAGAAATCTGGCAAAGAAGAAAGTATTAGGTCAATACGGGTGTTTCAGATCTGTGACAAATGACCGTAAGACCTATTTTCTTTGCAGACAACTGATAATAACAACATTTGCCGTGGTGTTCGACCCCTTTGTACGCTCTGCCGTGACAAGAGCAACAAGACGCCATATTACAGCACTGGGGACAAGTTCAATGCCGGGCTGGCGTGTGGCTGGGACACTGGACTCGTGTGTACCACTGAGGTGAACGGCAAATACTGCAGAGATTACGAAGTGCAGTTTCGCTGCCCTGTCATCGGTAGGTAAACTTTTATCCCAAACTTCAGTTCTAACGTGTGTCAGTTTCGTCGTGTTAAATCAAATATATTAATAAATTATTTCATTAATTGATACAAATATGGAAATATTAAGCTTGTCCACCTCGTCTCTGAACCACAGGCTTGTAAACATTGCGGCGGAGTACTGTAATACTTTAAAATTTCGAATGGAATATTGAACTCTCTCTCCCCGCGTGAATACAGTATGTATGCGTGCCTTTGCGCTGAAACAGAGGAAGAGTAGCGTTAGTCGTATGGTGATTTGGTAGGTGCAAATTGTAGCAAATATATGCTATACCAGTTGTTATGGGTATTTTAATGCCAATTACAAAGTGTACACTTCCAAAGTGTACATTAACACCCCATACTGTTTCAGGCAAGGCCAACCGTATCTAAAACTCAACAAGGTAACATAAAAACTCAGTGGGAACAAGAAAATCTAAGTGACTCCGGTGCTTTTTACATCATTTTTCATTCATCGGTTGATTACTCTTTTGACTTTTGAAGGTAGACGTTCTCTCTCTCTCTCTCTCTCTCTCTCTCTCTCTCTCTCTCTCTCTCTATATATATATATATATCCTAGTTACTGTTTATGGCTATAGTGGACCTATTATTGTCTTCTAGGAACTTGCCCGACATGTGGAAACGCACGTTGGACGAACTGGCTGAACAGAGACAGTCCTACTGCTACCGGAGATTGGGAGCACGTCGGGCCAACAGGACACAACCCGGTATCGCTATTTTTCCGCATTAATTTAATTAATAGCTGTTAATATTGCCCTATTATGACCTACCCTGTAAATTTAAAAACAACAGTGCGATTTTTATGTAGACTATTATCAATTTGCCATTTGTATCCAATTAACTGTAGCACTACACAAAGCATGATTTTTTCTTATTAATATCATATTTTTCCTCGGTTTACGGTGCGTTGTCAGTCCACAAAAAATCTGAAACTTTTGAAACATCATACAATGCATTTGATCTGATTTTGATGTCTATATACGAATACAAGAAAATGATGCTAACTTTACGCAATTGTCTTGTTTTTCTTATATTTTTCTTTTCTATTTTCTCTTTTCTTTTCTTTTTTCCATTTAAATTTCTATACTCCTTTTGTTCCAGTGCAACAGCCACGAGCCTATTGACATCCAATGTCGTGAAAGATCCACCGGGCGGCCATGGGACCAAACCGGGCAGGTTTTCAAAAATAAATGCACTCCTTCTGAGGGTCTCGTTTGCGTCAATGCGGATCAGGCCTCCAGACAGTCTTGCAAGGACTACGAGGTCCGCTTCCTGTGCCCATAGAAGAGAAAAACTTCTGGAACGGACACTACTTTCACATGGCTTCTTGTTTTAAGCGTAACAAGAGTAATACCAAATATGCAATTCCCTGTAGATGAATTAAAGTAGCAGAACAAGCCTCAAATCATATAAGTCTTGTGTTTTTATTAGATACTGCAAGATTTGTGACATAAAGCTACGACTTTTGAATTACCACACAAATTACTTAAAACATAGGCAAACAAAACAAAAGCTGAAGGTAAAACAACGCAAAATCTCATTCACTGGTGTATTAAGTAACAATGGTCCGAATGGGTGTGGGAGGAGGGAGCACCCCGTGTCTTTTTTAATGTGGTGCAACGTGGGCCACTCTGCATTACTATTGACAATGTACCTTTTATACATCAGGTTTCAGTGTGATGCACTTGTCATTTTTCCTCTTTACTTATAGAGCCGCCTTATGTGTGGTTTCAAAGTGCTGTACAATACTGTACCGTACTTTGCTGTAATGTACACTTACATGTACATACCTTACTAATTCTATCCCGTACTACAATACCGACCCATATACTGCAATGGCTCACTCTTTTCGACGGGAAGAACTGTCAATTCTAAAGATCTTGTAGTTTTTCATAACCTATTGCGATTAAAACTTTTCCATTGAGTGGTAGTAGAAAAAGTGAAAACCAAGCTACTTTGTAGTTCTTTTCTATACCTTAAAAACGCCACAAATGCTATCTTCAAATAAAACTTAAATGATTCCAAAATTATGGATCCGAAAGACTGATAATTTCACAAATGAAAACGTCGAGACATTGCCCTTATAACAAATTTAGTGCTCTATATCACTGCATACAACGTCTAAGACAGGACTCATAAATTACGTAATTTATAAATAACATTAACCTGAATCTTTTTAACGAGAAAAAAACAGGTGCTTTGTGCAGTAAGTTCCCCCCTCTTTTTTTTTTTTTTTTTTTTTTTTTTTTTTTTTTTTTTTTTTTTTAAGAAACCTTGGAGGCATTGTTATTTGCCTTGCACCGTTTGTTAGTTCAGGCAGCCTCGCTAATGTAGCTCACATCTTGTACTGTTAAATAAATTCGTCTTTAACAAAATATAAAAAGAATAGCGAAATAAGATTTTTTAATACAGACAGGCGTATAGTGTAACACGAATCACACCAATAAGTAAATAAAGTGGAATTGGAAAGACAGTTGAATATGGATAAGATAAGCAAGTACAAGTGACTAAGGTTGAAAGTCCTATTGCCACCAGTGAAAGGGAACACTTAGGTCCAACAGGAGGGAACATGTTAATATCACCAATAAGTTGATATTAAGTTTGCCTATTTACATTGATATAACATGATGATTATTTGACTATCATCTACTATCTGTCATTTGTGTCAAATTTACCAAAGCATTACAAAAAGAATGATTTTTATTAATATTTGTTTTTGTCACGTTTACCGTGGATATTTTATTAAACGGTTCACATTACAACTATTTTAACTCGTTGAATGTCTGTATTTTTACCACAAGTTGATGCTTTAATTGTTAGTTAGAAAAAATATGTATCGCCAGCAAGTATCACATTTCAAGGATATTCATTTTTTGTTTTTGCTCTATGAAGGTCGAACGCTCATTGTCTGTCTTTAAACGAGTTTGTGGGAAAAGGAAATTCCATGATTGATGAGAAAGAACAATAATATTAATTTTGGTGCCTGGCATTGCCTAAGGGTAGGCCAAGGCTTGAGATATGTTATATAAGCAGTGACTACGTCGGTAGAATTGGCATTTGAAGAGGTACAGGTAAGGCACTGTAAGAACAGCTCGCACGGGAGTTTCATTCACTATTACTTGGACCTAAATAATGTCCATGACTATTATGAGCAAGTGAATAAGATAAGTCATGCAATGGCTCGTTTTAATGATTCAATTAGAAGCGGTTTAAGTGGCATTGCTTTCACTACAGAAAAAAATTGCTTTGAAGGTTATTATCTAGGATGTTTTGAGATTGAAAACAGAATGTATACTTTAAGACTTAACTAGCAAAAGATTGCCTCAAATTCTTTCTGCATTTTTAATATTTATATCCTTTCAGGTGACAATTCTGTTATCACAGCTAATATTCAATGGAGACCACAATGATGCTCTTCGCCGCGTTGTGTCTTTCTATTGTTGTTCAAATACAAGGTATGTGCATCTCAGTTTTAATTTTTTCTGTTATTTGATTGAAAAAAAACAACAAAATTCATCCTCAGTGGCGGTGATTGTAATGTTTTTACTTACTTACTGACTGCAAAACAAGAAACGCATAATACAAAAAATACCTTTTTTCTTGAAAATGCATATAACTGATTGTGTAAGTTAAAGAAAAAGGACTAAAATGTGTTCCTTTGCGTTATGACTGTGTGTTACGAAGCTGAAAATGTGAAAAAAAAAGACGATTTTGTTTCGAAAAGTAATTCAGAACACCAAAATGTTTATTTATTTATTTATTGCACAGGTCACAGTTGGTCTAGATGGTACGATCGCGACGACCCCTCGATTACCGGCGACTGGGAAACTGTCGCTGATATGCGGGTACGTGGTGTCTGCCTTTTCTGTTTGAGCATCTTATCGACTGGCGAATGCAGGATCTAACTGTGTGTGTGTGTGTGTGTGTGTGTGTGTGTGCGTGGGGGGTATAGATGTGGGTTATAAAGAGCTGAGAGATACAGCAAATAAGAAATAGATGAGCACAATCACATTGTCATATATAGATTTCAGGTTTGAAATTGGTGGCGTGATTTGTCTCGCTTACTTGTACAAATGAATGGGAGCGGACTCTCTATCATGGGGGACTCTCTGTCACATTACACCGGGATCAAAGAAAAGAAAATGCAGTGTTCCTACCTATGTGTCTATCAATTTCAGAAGACTCACTACATTTGTGGTGGCTGCAAGCCCATTGGGGCCGAGTGTCGTGTTAAAGGCTCCTCTGCCGTCTTCACGCGCTGGAGGGGTTCTGCACCTAATAAGCTCGCTGCCAACTGCCTCCCAACTAAGGGTGTGATATGCAGGAACGGCGAACAAGACCCTACAAGCTACTGCAAGGACTACGAGATACGGTTTCTCTGTCCTTCTACAAGTAAGAAAGAGTTTAAACAACCCACCCATACATTTAAATTCAAAACTGAACAAAGTGATTTAGACATTTCTATTATCCTTACGACTTCTGCAGGCCCGGTTTTTAGAAGGCTTGTCGTTATCATCATTATTTTAATTTTATCATCATTATTATTTACGTTTTACATTTGTAGAGGTGGAAACGGGACCGTATTTGGACAGAGATGACCCAAGTGCGACTGGGGACTGGGAAAGCGTGTCTAGTTTTCGGGTAATCAAAAATTTAGTTTTTTTTTAATCTACGCATTGGTATTGTGAAAAAATGAGTTTTCAAATCATACACAATTGCGACCTGTGACTTTTCTGAATATCTAAATTCTGTAAAATATTTTATACGTTTATTTTGTAAAAAAGATTAGAAAAGATTTAATGCATAGAAAGCAGTCCTGTTAAAACCTTAATATTGAAAAACCGAAAAGTTTGTTCACAGCAATTTTGTTTATTAGATCCAGACAAATTATCATTATTCAGACATTTCCGGAAATAAGCACTGACAATGATTACAGCTATGGTTCAGCAGATGAGCTTATGTTTTTAAAAAAACTCCATATTTGCTTGTGAAGAAATCTGGCAAAGAAGAAAGTATTAGGTCAATACGGGTGTTTCAAATCTGTGAGAAATAACCGTAGGACCTATTTTCTTTGCAGACAACTGATAATAACAACATTTGCCGTGGTGTTCGACCCTTATGTACGCTCTGCCGTGACAAGAGCAACAAGACGCCATATTACAGCACTGGGGACAAGTTCAATGCCGGGCTGGCGTGTGGCTGGGACACTGGACTCGTGTGTACCACTGAGGTGAACGGCAAATACTGCAGAGATTACGAAGTGCAGTTTCGCTGCCCTGTCATCGGTAGGTAAACTTTTATCCCAAAAGACAGTTCTGATGTGTGTCAGTTTCTTCATGTATAATCAAATATATTAATGAATATTATCATTACTTTACACAATATGAAAATATTTAGCTGGTCCACCTCGTCTCTGAACCACAGGCTTGTAAACATTGCGGCAGAGTACTGTAACACTTTCAAATTTCGAATGGAATTGAACTCTCTCTCCCCGCGTGTATACAATATGTATGCGTGTGTGTGTGTATGTGTGTGCACGTGCACATTTATATATATGTAGGTGCGTGCGTCCGCGTTCAATAATGCCTGCCCGCGTGCCGGGACAGAGGAAGCTGTAGTGGTATGGTGATTGGGTAGATGCAAATTGGAGCAAATATATGCTATACCAGTTGTTATTGGTATTTTAACGCCAAAAGCAAACGCACTTCCAAAATGTACGTTAACACCCCATACTGTTTCAGGCAAGGCCAACAGTAACTTAACAAAAGCCCCATTCAGAATAGGGGACTAATTAGTCCGAGGGTCGAATATGGTGACCCACTACAAAGCTTGCCGTCTAATCCGCTAATAGACACCGAATAGATATCCCGTGAGGAAGTAGGCAAGTGGGTCGGCCATAATTGGCCCTCGGACTAGTTAGTCCCCTATTCTGAATAGGGCCAAACTCAACAAGGTAACAGAGTGCGCCTGATAACCTTAGAACTTGGTGGGAGCACAACGGATATGTAAGACCGCATTCTCAACGAATTGAGCCAGGCTTTACAAATCCTGAGACTAAAAATGGCGGACGTACATGAAAGAAAAACCGCCTAATCTTTTAATAGTCTCTCCGCTCTCACACGCCTCCCCACACGTCGTCCCTGCGGGGTACAGTAATTAAATCTCGGCTCCGAACATGAATATCTCCGTGAATATCTCTGGTGATATTATCTCCGTAGATAGTCGATTCATTGCTGCTCTATGGGCCAATTCATTCCTTTTTGTCTCTGTTTTGAAAGATAATAGAACAGAAGAGCTTTTTTCCTTCGATCGCCTTCAGCCGCTATGCTTTCTTCACCATAAACTGTTTAACTGATGAGCATGCGCACTTAATATTTCTCAGGTAGCTTCCGCATGGCGAACGGAGCCGA